GCGGAATATATGAAACTCTCCTGCCCAGCCCTTTTACTACCAGCGACGATCTCCATTCCCGACGCCATCTTATTTTTTCCGCCGCAGTAAAGGTGATCGTAGGACATTTTGGGTCCTCTTCGGCATCCATCTCATCATCTTCCTCCTTCTCCATCCCTGCCACGTCCTCTGAGTCAGACTCCGCCACATACCACTTGTCTTCTTGGAGAACCGCACTAAAGCTCTTTCCCCAAGTCCCCTTCCCCGCCGAGCTGGTGCTAGATTTTTCCTTTTCCGTCTCCATCTCAGTCGTGTCGGCGCCTCCAGTGTCCCCCCCCGCGTTCTGCTCAAAGACCAACGGCCGGACCTTCTTCTTTGGTTGTACTGTTTCTCTCTCGCTTTTCCCGTCCGGAGTCGAAGAACCCTCCGACGGTCGCCGGACACCACTAGTCACATCCGGAGCCCTGTCCGTCATCCCTGGTGACGTCGGCGGTGAGACCGCCGCCATTCTTTCAGCCAGGAACCCTAGGTTTGAAAATCGCAGCTAGGTTTCGTCTCCTATTTTCTCGGAGCTATTTTCTTTGCCTAGTTACGCGTATGCCCGTTTTAATGTATGCTATTCCTTTCTCTCACTTCCATAATCTCCAACCAGATCCCCTTTTCTTATTTTTCTCAATCTTTACGCAAAAGAAAAAAACGGGAAATCACTACCAATCAATTAGACAGCCACTACCACTTTAAAAAATATCAACACTATTGCAAAAATAACTCTATACCATTACACGAAAACTACCAATATAAATCTATACCATTTCACAAAAAATCAATACCATTGCAGATTTAATCAATACCAATACATGAAAGTTAATACCATTACATGATAATCAATACCAATGCGACAAAAACAATACCAATGCGACAAAATCAATACCAATGCGAAAAAACACTACCACTACGAAAAAATCACTATCATTTCACATAACAACAATATCGTTACATGATAATCAATACCAATGTGGAAATAAATACCAATATGAGAAAATAAAATAAAATAACAGATATGGAGTCTAGCTAATGGTTGCCGGCTCCTCCTCGCCGCAATGATGGAGAGAGAGAGAGAGAGGTGGCTGGTGGGGAGGATGGAGGGGAAAATATGATGGCGTCGGTGGTGTTGGGTGGGGAGGAAGGAGGGGAGAATGGCGGTTGTGGGTGTGGGGAGGGGAGAGGAGAGGGATGGCGGAGGGATGGGCAATGGGAAAGAGCGGAATGGTGGTGGCGGTGGATGGGTGGTGAGGATGCTCGCCGGGGAGGAAGGAAAGAAAATGAAGAATTGTTAGGTTTGGAGATAATTATTTAGGATTTTGGAGAATATATAGAAAGTTATATTTTAAAAGTAGTAATTAGGTGTGGTTGTTATTTTTTTCCAAAATTTCCCTAATCAATTATAACGGTCAATTTAAAAATGCTAAAAATGGAGGGTGGAGATGTAGGTAGCCACGATGATTACTAAAAAATTAGTAATCATCCTAACTCATTCCTTGAGAAAATGAGAGGGCCAAGCAAGTTTTCTGCTCAAATACACCTATTGTCTAAACATTATTATTGTATTCAAGTTGGAACTTATGATTTCATTCTATGTTTGTGATTGTTTTCTGCTCAAATACACCTATTGTCTAAACATTATTATTGTATTCAAGTTGGAACTTATGATTTCATTCTATGTTTGTGATTATTAACTCACTGTAAAAAAAATTAATTTTATGTTTTTTTCATTATTAACGAATATTATTTTTATTATTATCATTGCACGTTTAATTACCAACGTGGCTTGTTGAAATATTTGACGCTCCATTTGTGTTCATTATTAAGCTAAATTGATTCTGATTTTCTTCAGTACCATCAATGTATTATGTATGTAAGATAAACTTCATTGAGATCTCCAACAGATCTCCTAATAGAGAGAAAAAAATGTCTTTCTCCGAAAAAAGGAAAAGCTCATCTCTCCCTACCGTTGGGACGCTAGAGAGGAAAGTGTTATGAAAATTGAAAATAAAAGTTAAAAAAAGTGTCATAATTACTGCCAAACATAATTTAATAATACAATTTAAGGCCTGAGTTCCGGTATAAAACTCTGGTATGCAGTATGCACAACCTGATTGTATCATCGTGTATTATCATATCACGATAATACAACCATATTTTGTAGGGTTTTGCATGCAGGGTTTTTCTATCCTAGCCGCTCCCATATTTTAATTAAAATTATTAGTTATTAGATAGATATATTAATTGGTCAGTTTAGCTTAAGGGATCCAGTAAGATAAGGTCGGGTCTACGGTAAGATTCCTGCACCCCTTTTCCATCTTTTCTCCTACCTAGGCCGAGTTCCACTCTCTTTTCCACCCACCGACCCCATCAGTTTTGCCTCTCCGTCGATTCCCTGGAGGCTGGCCAAGTTGGAGCTATGGTCGGAGATCATCGGCGGATCCAGGGGAGGGCCATACTGGGCCCGGGCCCAGCCCTCCTCCTGGTAGAGAGCTAGTAAAGCTCCACTTCCAACCCCTCTCACCAATTTGGACCCAGCCCTCTTATTCTCCCAAACCCAAAAATCCAAAACCTAACTCCAAAGAAAAACAAAATCCAATCCCCTATTGACCTCTTTTACTCTTTCCCTGCTGGCACATTAGGGATGACAATTTTGACCTGACCCGTTTTACCCGACCTGTTTTGGGGCGGGTCCGACCCGCCCCGTAGGCGGGGCGGGGCAGGCATGGGTAGTCTTATCGACCCGACCTGCCCTGACCCGCCCCATTCTCGACCCGTTCTTGTCTAAATTACATGTAATTTTAGTCAAATTAACTAGGATCTTCCTTTTATTGCATCATATTTTAGATATAAGAAAGTTGTAAATTAGTGAAAACCTCAATTTCTCCAATAATTTAACTACAATTATCACAATATTGTTTGTTTTCTTAGTATTATAATAAAAATAATGAATATTTCTAATGTTTTTAATATAAATTGCATACCCATTGGGTCGACCTGCCCCGACCCACGACCCGTGATCAATTACCCGACCTGGACCCGACCTGCCACGGGGCGGGTCTGGGTACCAAGAAACCCGCCCCGGACCTGCCCATTGCCATTCCTATGGCACATTATCAAAGGGAAAAGCAGGAGACCTACCTCCATCCACGATCCCATTCTTTCTCGCGGCGCTCGCTAGTCCGCATTTCTCCGGCGAATTCCAGCAGCCCAGCAGCAGCGGGCTAGCTCCCAGGCTCCCACTTGTCGTCTCCTCTGCAACTGGTTAGTGGTTAGCCGCTTTTGGTTAAAAGATACAAATGATTAATTTTTGGCCATCAATGTAAAATTCAGATTTGGCTTTTCTAATATATCCTCCCTTATCTGTGTACAATTTTATGTAGAATAATTAGTTTTGACTGCATTATACATGATTAATGGGTATCATGATATCTTCTTAACTATCAAATAAGAAGACAAAAACAACATTGTCTTTTTACTATTCAATGCAAGGAATTTGAAATTTGAAGACTGATTTGTACAACAAAATGGTGATAATTTTTTTTATTGATTTCTTAACTATTTTCTTTGAGAGAGAGTATACTATTGTTATGGATGAAGAGTCAATTATTAATGAATTTGCTAAATCAAAAGATCGTCGTGTATTGACATCGTAATGAAAACTTTAGTATTTATATATTTTTATTTACGTTATCTAATTTTCTATTCAAATGCGGCCCAGTGCACTATTGTATTCTGGATCCGCCGCTGTCGGAGATGGATAGCCAGAGAATCGAAGTCAGAACGCCAATCCCTTACTAAATCTCCTTATTACCTTTAAGTGCTTCCCCGCCAATTAATACCACAAAATTAATCCCAAGACCTTCATTAGTTTAATCCAAACTTGTGATCTCAAGGGGAACTGCATTGATTACCCAGATCCACTGCATATGGAAATGAGAGATACTGTCTACATTAGGAATGACAATGGGGCAGGTCTGGGTCGGGTATCTCGATATCCATGCCCACCCCATGGCAGATCGAGTCCAGATCGGGTAATTTATCACGGGACGCGGGTCGGGACAGATCGACCCAATGGGTATGTAATTTATGCTGAAGAACATTAGAAATATTCGTTAAATTATTGAAGAATTTGAAGTTTTCACTTATTTACAACTTTATTATAGCTAAAAGATAATGTAGTAAAAGGAAAATCCTAAGTAATTTGACTAAGATTACATGTAATTTAAGCAAGAACAGGTCGAGAATGTGACGGGTCAGGGCAGGTCGAGTCGATAAGAGGTATTCATGCCCGCCCCGCCCTCCCCGTCTACGGAGCAGGTCTAATCCGCCCAAAACAGACCAAATAGGTCGGGTAAATCAGATTAGGTCGAAATTGTCTTCCCTAGTCTACATGATATACGAACTGAAGCTTCGTCCATTGATGAACTGTATCATTTTTAATGTTTTCCTCTATCTAGAAACAATCATTATATATACCGTATACAATACATATCCTGTTTGTAAAGCATAAGGTACTGGACGTGCATTTTCATGCTATTGAATGCTTCCCAAGTCCCCAAAAGCACAGCTAATCAATTCAGACTTAAGCTTTCTTCCAGCAAGTTGCATGCATGTGAGGTTGTGGGTATAAATTAAATAAGATCTATCAGCAGCTGGTAGATAGATGGCTATATATATAGACACAGTACTTCATATTGGTTGTGGTTCAGTTAATAGAGATATAGTTGCAGGCAGGAAGTAATTAAGCTGTAACTAAGCTCTGTTACGTACGCGTAAAATCAAGTAAGGTAAGTCCCAACGTTATACGTACTGCATACATAGCTACAGGGAGCATATATATATAGTACTGTTGATTGTACGTTTTGGTTAAATAAATGCTTTAATTATTTTCTTATGTATGAACGATCGATCTGTGCTTATTTAATTAACAGAGAAAGTAACATGAATATGCAGGCTAGGGGGAAAAAGGGCCGGAAATGGAAGTTTCGGTGATATCAACGGAGAACATCAAACCATGGTCATTAGCAGGAAGTGATCGGCATGAGCTCAAACCATTCAAGCTGTGCCTTCTTGACCAGCTCATGGTCTCCATTCACTCTCCTCTCGTCCTCTTCTACACCATGAAGGATGAACATCATGATAAGAAATCGGTTGGCAAACGGTTGAAAGCCTCATTGTCAAACACCTTGAACCCCTTCTACCCTCTAGCTGGGAGAGTGAAAGACAACCTCATCATCCACGACTTCGAAAAGGGCGTCCCCTTCACCGAAACCCGAGTGAAGGGACACTGTCTGTCTGATGTGGCCTCTCCACGTGGTGGCGGTGGACCCAGGTTGGAGTTCCTAAACAACTTGCTCCCCTTCGAGCCACATTGTTATCAGGAGGATGAAGCTGCTTCTCCACAGCTATCGGTGCAACTGAACACGTTCGACTGCGGTGGGATTGCGATTGGGATCAACCTGTACCACAAGCTCATGGACGGGGCGACCACCAGCGCGTTCCTCCACACCTGGGCGGCCAACTGCAGCGGCGATAATCCTCGGATGAAGAAACAGCCAGAACTACGCAAAGCACGCTCGGTTTTCCCTCCTCGGGACTCCATCCCAACTGAGGTCCAGACATTTTCAAACAGGTTGTTCTTCGGGGATGTGGGACGACGACCACGAAGACTGCCCGCATCTAGGAGATTCGTGTTCGATGAAAAGGCTATAGCGATGCTGAGAACCAAGGCGGGGCTCAGCATCACGAACCCGACTCGTCTCGAAGCTCTGTCTGCTTTCATTTGGGAATCGGTCCTCAAAGCAGCTGATGATGAGGAGCAGCAGCAACAGCCAACGTGCCTCACGCAGGGCGTTAACATGAGGCCATTAATGAGTCAACGCTTGTCCAAACAATCCATCGGAAATCTCGTGACCACCGCCATGGCGTCCTGCGCGGACAGCCCTGCAAAGTCAATGAGGGAGCTGGTGAGTCTCATACGAGATGGGAACTTGAGAGTGGACGAGAACTACCTCAACGGCATCTCGGGCGAACAAGGGTTGACGGCCATGATGCAAGGGCAGAAGGTGTTTGAGGGGATTGTGAGTGGAGGGAAAATCATGGTTTGCTCAAGTTGGATTGGGTTCGGTTCGAACAATTTTGACTTCGGTTGGGGGAAGCCCATCTGGACCGGTTTGTCTGGAGACCCTAGCGGAAACCTCCCTTGCCTCAACAACAGCGTTATTTTCAAGGAAGTAGCTCCCCGAGGGCGTGGAAGCTCTAAAGCCATAGAGGCATGGATAAGGTGTCAAGAACCAGTTGCTCCCAATAACTCGAGTTGTTGGGAGAGGTTTAATCGTGGATCATATACCACAACACTAACACGCCCCCTCAAACGAAAGCCACTCACAAGGGCTTGAAGTTTGCACAGGTCTGAAGACAAGAATACCATGTGCTTAACAAATGGGGGTCATCGGGAATTGAACACAAGACCTCTCGGTCACAGAAGGCTCTGATACCATGTCAAGAACCAGTTGCTCCCAATAACTCGAGTTGTTGGGAGAGGTTTAATCGTGGATCATATACCACAACACTAACATAAGGCTAGATGAAGATGTCATGTATCGTCTTGAACATGATCCTCTCTTCCTTCAATATGCTTCCCCTAATCCACCCATCATTCTCAACTAGCTATACTACCTCATCACCTGTCGACACATCTTCACCACTTTTATCTCCCGAGAGCCGAGATCCTTTCCTCTTCACGACTGGCTTTCGACTTTACTCGATCGCTCAATTTAGTCTTCTCAATCTGAGATTTGGATTTACATTAGCCATGCAGATGATATATAGCTCTTGCTTGAATCCACTTCATTGCTGGTCTTGAAGACGGAAAGCTTGCAGTGATGAGAGGCCGAAGAGCAAATAGTTTTGTGGTTGTAGAGCTAATGTTGGCACAATGGCACTCTATTCGCCAAGCTAGGGGCTCGGGCGCTGTTGAAATTTAAGTCGTCACGGCTACCCAATAACCACAGATCAACGGAGGAGTTCTTACCAGGGACTCGAGGATCTTCTCAATACTTAATTCTCAAAGCAATGTTTTTACCAGAAATTTCATTTTCCTTTCACTTATTCAATTTAGCTGTGAGATCCATTTTCTTTTTGCATTTCACATATTTGCATGGGCGACACCTGTTAGCACCACAATGAAATAAACCTATCGGAGCCAAAGACGTACTATAAATTTATTCCATTGCTCTTTATCTATACGTTTTCTCTTCACTATACTTAGAGGTTCATCATTTGATCCATCGAATTATGCACCACATCAGTTTTACTTATACATTAAAAAATTACAATAAGTCAGGTCAAGTACAGTTAGAAAACAAAATGTCTATATTCAATTGGATATTTAATATTAAAGATTATCTAAGCAATAATTTTTCTTTCATAACTTTAACAAACATGTTAACAATTATATAATTATACGTATACCAGCATTACATAAATGAAAAGTATAATAATAAGTTATTAAAACAGATAAATTAGTCAAAGAGAACACAATTTCATTAAAAAATTATATATATAGTAAATATCAAAATACAATGAGAAAAATGATAATCATCTCTACATAACATACATACACATATGTATAATCGAGTATGGTTGGGTTGTATAGTGAGAAAACCATATTCACACATTATCCGCAATATTCGAATTCGGATTAATCAATAGCACTAAAATATTTCGGGTTTAGATTTTGTGCTACCCAATTAAATCCTATTTGAACATATACACAGAGTTGGAGATACACGTTTATAGACTCTTGTAAAGTTTAATTAAAAAAAAAATGTAACATCACAACTAGTTAGAATTGTGAAGTGTGTGGAGTTATCTAGAAATTGTATTAATGTGGGTAGTTATAAATTAAGAAAAAGAAGAAGAAAAAAAACCACAAATGGGTAGATATTTGTGGGGTTAAGTAGGTGTGAAGTGGTAGTTAAGTCATGTGGCAAAGTTTAAGCCACAATTTAGTGTTGGAACTTGACTATAAATAGCCATGGTTTGTGTATGGTTTCTTCATCCCAAGCAAAGCAAAGCAAATAAGAAAGAAACTAGAGAGTGTTTGAACAATTGTGAGTTGTGGGAAGGTGAAAAATAAACAGAGTTTGTGAGCATTTCAATCCATTTTTCCTACAAGTGGTATCAGAGACAAGGTTATTCCTCGTATGCTCTGTGGTTGCGGTTTAGGCCGATCACCCACATAAGAAAAGGGTTCCTTGTGCTTTGTCATCAGTATCAAGGTTATTCCTCGTATGCTCTGTGGTTGCGGCTTTGGTTGATCTTCCACATCAGAACAATGTTCCTTGTCCAAGCACTCCCTCGGAAATCTGGTGACCGGCGCGATGGCGTGCTGCGGGGACAGCCCCGACAACAAGTCAATGACTCATTGACGTCCTGCAAGGATACTGGCAACAACGTGACAATGAAGGAGCTGGTGGGTCTCTTGAGAGAGGGAATGGCGAGGATCGTTGATGAGAAGTATATCAACGCCATCTGCGACGCTGAACATGGGTTTGAAGCCATGCTTGAGGGCGATAAGTTATTGGGAGAATGTGGCAGCGGGGAGCTTATGACTTGCTCAAGCTGGATCGGATTTGGTACCAACAGTTATGACTTCGGTTGGGGGAAGCCTCTCTGGACTGGGTTATACGGGGACCCGACGGGGGATCATCCTTATGCCAACAATTTCCTTGTTTTCAAGGAATTAGGTGGTCGAGGGCGTGAAAATTCTAATGCCGCCATAGAAGCATGGATAAGGCTGGACGAAGACGTCATGGCTGTTCTTGAACATGATCCTCACTTCATCCAATATGTTTCCCCCAATCCTCCTATCATTATCAACTGATTATCAGATATAGTTCCTGACTAATTATTCTCAAACAGCTGATGATTAGCTAATGGACGGTTAATCACTATAAATTACCTCAATGTATGTTTCATGGTTTATTTTATATTATCTTGAATAATGAATGGTTTGGAGATTTGGCATATGGCTTCAATACTGATATACTAAAAATTTGACTTCATGTTTAGACACACACAAAAGAGCTAGACATGAATGGAATTTATCATGTCTAGTTGTCTACACATTATTTTATTCTTTCATGTAATCTCATCAAACTTAACAAACATTCAATCCATTTTCTCACAACAAAGAAATTTCCAATTAATTTTAATGAGTCATTCATATCTCTTTCATTTTAAGTCATAGTTGAAAAAATTTTGCATAGAAAAATCATATAAATTGTATTATTCAAAATATCATCCATTTTCATATATATCATGGTGTTAATGGTTGGTAGAAAAATAAGATTATACCATGTGAAGAGAAGGAAAGAGAAGAGCAGCGTCTTTGAAGCTAGCAACGGCGGCCGCGCGCGGTGGCGACCATTGGAGGGATTGGGCGGTTGAACTCTGCCAGTGGGGACTCGGGTGGGGGAGGGAGCAGAGCTGAGAGTTTTTGGTAGGTGGGGGAGAGGATTTGGGTTGGGCTAGTGTTTTACTAGGGGCTGTGGGTTTGGGTCTGTGTGGGCTTGGGGATGTGTGGACTTCAGGTTGTAAGTTCGGTTGGTCGGTTTGGAATTCGGAAATCGAGTTCGGTTGGGCAGATCCTGATATCCGAAATAATGGATTTTGTCTTCCGAATTCCTGGCCGAATAAGGATAATTCGGTTTTGGTTTCGGTTCAGTTTAGTTCGGTTTTGATTCGGTTCGGTTCAAGTTTACCAAACCGGATGCCCATCCCAAGTATGAGTGGTACGCAAAAAAAAAAATCTTGGAATATATTGAAAATGGATATAACATTTTAGATCGCAACAAACTCGTTCCATCTGTGGGGGAAAAAAATAAATCTAAGTTAAAACAAAAAAGATAAAACCAATTAAAAATAAAAAAATAAAGTCTTTTTAATCTCACTACTGAGATCTGGCCTCACTTAAATGTACAACTGGAGCGCAACCCCACAAGGAGTGAGATTTTGTAATGCATTTATATATAACAATAGAGTTCTCCATCCTATCCTGAAACATGCAATATCCATAAGTTCATGGCGATGTAATAGTTTAAACAATGTTACATTGGTGTTGACATATTTATTTGACAACGCTTAATCGATGGACCCTGAGTCCACAACACAAAAGTAACATAAAGATATACTAAAAATACACACACCATGCATTGAGCTGCCCAAAGATCTTATTGGCAACAAGAATATATAGCTGGGTTATATAGGCACAGGATCCACGAGAATGTTGGTGAGCAATTCTTTCATGAAGGTCTTGGCATGCGTGTAAGTGTCTTCATCCTTATACAGAAGATCCATGACACGCACCATATTCACTATGGTCATCAGAATCGGTAACGGAGCTTTCAAAGGCAGCATCAGATCCTCGTTCATGTCTTTCCACAGTTTCTCCACCAAATTGTTCAACCCCACGTACGCCTCTTGCTTTGACACACCGTATTGCTTCATGTAGCACTCTACAGACGAAGCCACATGTCCCCTTTCTTGCTCAAACTATACCCACATATCGAAATATATATTGTCAGTATCGGTTCATGTATGAATCAGTATAACTACTTACATTAGTTAGCATACATGAATGTCAAGTACGTTAGAATTTTAAATGGGGGATAGAGCTAGGGCAACCATGTATACCTCGTGGGAGACTATGTCATCCATGAGCCTGGCGATGCTAGAACCAGCCACAAGGATTTTAGGGTTGGGTTGACTGAACAGCCATTGGAAGACCTCTTTGGAAGCAACTTCACCCATCCCACAATAGACAACGGTAATAGCCAGGGGATACCCAATGCTCACATAACCATTAGGCACGTGTTCCTCCATTGTTGCTACATAACCTTTGTTGTACCATCTGGCTTCCTTGATGAATGCCCTCACTATCTGTTTCACCTGTAATACATATGTTTTGTTCAATTAGCAATGGAAGTCATTGCATCATAAGTAAGAAGATTAGGGACTGATCATGAGTTAATTAGGCAATTATAATCTCAGTAATTAGTTACCGCTTCCATTGCATACTCCACACAAAAGGACCTGTCTTCCTTGGACACATGAGCTTCAATTTCAGCAAACACGTCAAGCAAGGTCTTGAACCAGAACTTGAAATAGCTAGGGAGCACGTCTTCATCTGTAATTTCCCACCTAATAGAAAAAATTTTACCAAATTAATATAAGTTGACGAGAATACTTAAGTGACTAACAAAGAATTGCCAACCTCTCCATGACTTTGGTAATGCTCTCAAGTTCATCGATGGTGCCATGGACATCGAAAATGTCATCTAAGGTGGAAACAAGTGCGGTGATTTTCGTGACAAAAATTCTTCCAGTGGTATAATCAGGCCTCACAAATCCACCCAACGGCCACATGTAGCACTCAATCACCCTGTCCCGCGCAAACGGTAGTGTAGTTGGCGTGTCCAAATCCATCCACCACCTTTTATTTACCAATTACGGAAAGAAAATAAGGAAAATCAGATGGCCATCCAAAATCCAATTATAGAGTCAAATAAGGTGGCGGTAGTGGTGGTGGTCTGGTTGTTGATAATTCAGTGAGACAGGACATTGCGACCCATCCTTATCAAAACCTTGTAGCTAGGGCACAATACAAAAACAAAAAGCAGCACAATATGGCAATAGTCTTGTCCACTAATAAACCAGCTTTTTTTCTTTTTTGGTGGAAGAAACCAGCTTTTTCGACACCACCTGTCAAAAGGATAAAGAATGATTACTTGGTGAGAATATTAAGCTCGTGCTGATGCAACTTCTGGACCAAGTTGAAGTCCAGCTTCCCTAACTTCAGAATGGCTTCGTTGTGCCTTTCGTCTTGTTGGTATATCGACATGAAGTGCCTCGACTCTCTTATGGGAAGCCCTTTGAGTATGGGCCATTTCAACGAGTGTCTCACTTGGCTGGCCCAAGGCGAGTTCTGTAGCTGGGCAATGGGCTCAAGGTGACTTCTTGCGAACTCGAGTGCTTCATCCAGTACCTGTTCCCCGTTAACTCTGTAGTAAGCAGCTTCGTACAAGCTCAATAGTCCTTTCACGTCGCCGGACACATCTTCCTTGAAGTTCCCCTTCTCGTCTTTGAATTTCTCCAACAAAACTGTATGGCATAAAGTCGCGCACAACAAACGTATTGTCACAATATTATATGTCAGTAGTCGTTTCTCAACGAGCCGCAGGCATGCATGCATATATTAATTATGTAAGAGAGATATATAAGATTCAGGATTACAATGGCACGGTTTATTGAAATCAACTGATTAAAATCGCGCCATCAAAATAGTTTATTTGATCAAATGGTGCGTGTTTGAATATTCACGATCACAATATTAACATGTGATTTAATCACAAGATATAGTGAGTCTGCGCAAATTTCAAATTTATAATAAGAAAATCATATAATATCTATAATTAATTTTCTTTCAATAACTCTGACTCGAGACCGTCAAAGTACTAAATGAAACTACTCACGCGCCGGATTGATGTGGTAGCCCTGCTGCCTTAGAAGCCGGAATCGGAGGGAGACAACGTATAAGTTACCGTCGGCGTCGACATACCCATCGGCGGTGGCACCGGAGATTCGAAGCAGAGCTGCTTCGATCTCTTCTTCGAAATGATAAGCGATGCCCAGCCTTTGGAGGGCATCAATCATCTCCAGCGTTTCCAGAACCGTAGCCTTCTTCTTCTTATCATCGTTACTAACAGCTCCCCTGAGCATCTCCCTGACTTCTTCCGTCAGTTTCTGAGCTTCCTCCAAATTCTGTTATAATATGAAGTTCCAAAAAGTCGAAAAATAAAGTTCGAGTCTACCCTGTCAAAGTGTCAATCCATGGTTTATCGTAAAAGTTACCATGCAATATATATACATAAAAAAGGAAAAAATGGAAGAAAAGAAAAGGTGGTAAAAGTGAGAGAGAGCGGTTTAGAGTTACCTGAGAATCAGCAGCGTTGGTGGACATGTTAGAGCGAGCAAAGAAGTCGTTCCAAACGGAAGGATGAAACTCCACCCTCTTCCTGCGCAACTCTGCCGCCGGTTCATCAATACCCACCGCCATAATCAACTGAGTGTGCTTTGAGGGAGTGTGTATGTCTAGACTACACATCTATATATAGTGGATGGTAATGCTATGTGGCAATTTTCAATCCAATTCATCTACTAAAATATCCAACTAATGCAATTCATTTAAATCCAATTCGTTTGATCCAAATCCAATTGAATTAGTAGATACATGTAGGGGTGGTTATACGGTCCGGTCCAGTTAAATTGACCCAAATTGATCCGATCCTGATTCGATCATTTCGGGAATATAATGACCAAAGATTGGATTGGATACAGTCCGGCCTTGATCCGGTCCGGTCTTTAACCGATTCGGTCCCAATTTAATCTTGATTTATATAGAGTTTGTGGAGATTTGAGTGGCCTGAGATTTCAGAGGGTGAGGAGTTTGTTAAGTTTTGGGTGTTAAGCTCTCTTATCCGCTCTTTATCCACTCATACTTCTTCGTCCAATCGACATTTGTGGGCTGGTATGAGCCTGCGCGCTGTTGGCTTCGCGGACGGCCCACAAGCTCCAAGTATTCCTCCACCTACCATAAAACAATTGAATTAGTAGAGCAAGTGGTAGTAGTAGTAGGGTGATGAAATGGTTACCATGTTAATAACTAAACCAAATAAGACTAAATTCTATTAAGTATGGAATACAATATCAAACCAAACCGTCCAAACTAATACAACAATTAAATTAACCAAACAAAAGTTTAATCAGTTTGGTTAATTGGTTAACCAAAATAACCAATATCTCATCACATTATCATTAAGTGAGAAAAAAATTTGGTTAGTGCATCAATTTGCAATTTATATAATTTATAACACATAACAATCAACACAAAATTATAGTTAACCCTTAACATATAAATACACGTACCTATATATAATATATTAGATATATAGCTAATGACTTAATTGCTTAATTTGGTTTGATTGGTTAGGAGTGTCTGAAACCAAAGCAACTCACCTAAACCAAACAAGCTACAAAATTTAACCAAACCAAATCAATTATCCAAATTATCCAAATACTACCGGTTAAGTGTATTTATACGAAGGTCTCAGTACCATCCGGTTAACCAAACCAAACCAATTATCCAAATTATCCAAATGATTAACTTGTGTCTTAATAATTATAATGAGCGCAACCTTTCAAAAAAAAAAAAATTATAATGAGCGCAACCGGAATGGCCACATAACTCGACCAAAGTTCAGATCTTATGGAGGAAAATCCGATGAATCTTATCTGAATGTCTGCGTATAGAAGAATAGCCACAAGTGGAAATAAAATATCTTACAAATTACAATTATTAGCTTGAGAAAATGACAATGAAGCTTGAAGCCATGATTGTTCAAACAAAGATCCACAAAAAATAATAGAAAATACAGAACCCAATAAAATAATAAATACAATAATAGAAACCGGGACCAATTTCTTCTTCTCCTCCACTCCTCCTTTCCAAGAAGTTGCTTTATGATTAGTCTTTTTCGACGGCTATAATAATATAATGGGTTAATACCTTAGTTTGGTTCGAACTATAGACAAACTTTTTACTTTGGCACGTGGTAGAGCAAATTGTTATTCTAGCCTGAACTATTTAGCATACTTCCTTATTTGGCCCAGAAATGGGTTTGACCGTCAAATTGGACGTTCAATCGAGTTGACCGTTAGTCAAATTCCAGCTCACTTGCCATGTCAGCTAACAGGGAATAAAAAATTATTATTTTTTAATTTCTGTATTTTGTTTCCTTATCAATTTTTCATGTATTTTATTTACTTTCTAATAATAAAAAATTAATATTATAAAAAAAGTCTATATGATGAATGTCGATCACATCTCCCACACCACCAACAACAAAAATTTGTATGATAAAAAATTCTTATTTTTTATAATATCAATTATTTTATTATTAGAAAGTAAACAAAATAATGAAATTAAAAAAATAATTTTTTATTCCCTGCTAGCTGACGTAGCAAGTGAGTAGGACTTGTAGGACTTTGACTAAAGGTAACCAATCTTAATCTTGTCTACAAATCATTTCTAATTTGACTGCTAACAAACCTCATTTAACACCTAATCTAACTACCTCTAGTAGAGAGACATGATAGTCTGGCCCATCCTTATCAAAACTCTGTAACTAAGGAAAAAATACTACACAAAAAACATAGCAATATGACATATTTTGTCGAATAATAAACTAGTCTTTTCTTTTCCTTAAGAAAAAATAAGGAAAGGAGGAATAAAGTTCAAACGATATAGGAAAAATATACTAGAATGAAAAATAAAACGACCTTGCGTAGGTCATTTTCTTTTTATATTTCCCAAATAGCAAGTAGTACACTTTTTGCACTCTTAGTTATGCATTAATGGATCATATGTCGTTGGAATCAAGCACAAATTGTGTTTTCTTCTTACAGATGCTCCGAAACGTTCATTCATATCTAAATCTTCATGATTCATTTTGGCTGGAAGCTTCCAGTCAAAATGATACAGCAAATTCGCCAGCATGAGTTTCACAACAGCCATTCCAAATGTTAATCCAGGACAGCTCCTCCTTCCATAACCAAATGGGATAAATTTTAAATCCAACCCTTTGTAATCGGTTGAGAAGTCATCAAGAAACCTTTCCGGATAGAATTTATCCGGTGTTTTCCAATGACGAGAATTCCTTCCAATAGCCCAAGCATTGATGATGACTCTAGTTCTCGCGGGGATATCGTAGCCATCGATTTCTGCCCTCACTATCCCTTCTCGTGGAAGAAGTAATGGAAGTGGCGGGTGCAATCTTAAACTTTCCTTGATGACCGCATCCAAGTACTTCAATTCCTGAAGCCCGTCTTCACTAATGGCGTTGTCTTTATCACGAAACTTCTGCCGCACTTCTTCTTGCACTTGTTGCATCACTTTTGGATTTTTCATCAAGAATATTTCCTAAGAGATCCAAGAATATTTCCTAAGAGATCCAAGATTTTTCATCAAGAATATTTCCTAAGAGATCCGAAATGAAATGATTAACGAATATCCATGAGCTAGACCAATATAAGTACTTGAGTGAAATTATAATCAACTAGCTTACCAAAATGACAGCTTTGGTTGCCTTCATTGTCAAGGGGATTTCCAGCAAGTGGGGATTTTCCAAGAGATTCAGAAGAACATCAACCAAATCGATATGGGTTGGATCAGAATGGTTGATAGCTTGCATTTTTGTAGCTGATCTTTTGGCTTGATGTTCATGGATGATATCATCAAGCATCGCATCAGTAGCTAAATGCATCCTGGTGAGTTGAGCTCTAAACCCAGTCAGACTTGGAAGGAATTTTAGGGAAGGGAATAGATCGGAGACTCTGAATCCACCGGCAGCATCCGAAATATCAGCGACAAGTTTCGAGAATGTTGCCTCATCCAAATCCTGTTTGATAGTACAAGAAATCAACATATATTTTCGAAAGTGTCACATAGTTTATAAAATACATTTCGAGTAAGTTAGGTATAAAATAAATATTAGTATTTTAATTTATCTCTAAATTAATGGTACATCTACTAGTATTTCATATTGTCTATCAAATCTAATATTTCAAAAATAAATAAATGTATAAATTATATTAAAATTATCAATTTAATTCCTTAAATACAAATATTAAACGTATTAAACAAATTTTATATGTGTTTAGTACGAAAATTATGAAAATAGACAGAGAAAATTGAAACCGCTTGGTAATAATATGAAAACGGAAGAAACAAATAAACGCATAAAATACGTATGTTTGTATGAAACGGATTGATTATTACTCAAAAATTGAATCTAGTCAATGAGTATTGAATTTTCAGCACCTTCACCATGCCGAACGCCGTCCTGAAAGTGAAGCTGCTGGACGCCGACGCCAGCAGCCTGGTAACATCGATCCCTCCGCCGGCGGCACTCCGGGAGCGGACAAGACCGACGAGCTTGGAGGCCTCGGATTCCCTGATGGGACGGAAAGAAAGAACCCTCTTGGGGCTCAGAAGCTCCGCCACGCAGATCTTGCGCATATGCCTCCAGTGGTCGCCGGTGGGGGTGAAGCCGATGCCTTTGGTGCCGTAGAACAAGATGTCGCCGGCGAGGAGGTACGGCCTCGACGAAAAAGCGTGGTCGTGGAGTTTCAGGACTTGTCTCGCGGCCTCGGGGCTGGAGATGACGATGTTGGAGAGCTCCCCTAGCTGGAGGTGCATGACGTGGCGGCCGTGCTTCTCTGCCAGTTCTCTCAGGCGGCGGTGGGGCAGTGCTTCCCCGACGATCAGATGGTGGAGGTTCCCGATCACTGGGAGCTTCCATGGGCCCGGCGGTAATTTCTTGGCGGAGGCTGATGACCGGTTGTGCCTGGTTGTTAGTAAGGTGACAAGAGCAATTATGATGATGGTAATGGCTGTAATGAATAACGGGAGGAATGGGAAATCGTCGAGGGAAGCCATTAATCGATCTTCAAAACTTCAGCTAGCTGGTGGGCAGCTTTTTAACACATGCCCCCATCTTATCACTGCTTTAAAGTGCTTATATTTTGCAGTCATAATCTTCTTTTGGCATTTTCTTTTTTCACAAGGGTGCAGCTCAAGATGGTTGGGCTGCACCTAGGGTGAACAAAACAAACCGTAAATTAACTCAAATCTGACCCAATTCCGTATTTATTGTTATAATTAAGATTTAAGGTTGGGCGAGAATTTTATTTTGTACAACTGACTTCTATTGGGTTGGGTCCGGGTTTTGGGTATGCAACCCGTAGAATCCGACCCAACCCATGTTCCAACTAATGTCATAAAAGTTCGTATCCAAAATGTATTTGTAAGAAATTTAAAATATTTTATCATATTTTTCTCTCGTGATTTCCCTAACGTAATCTACTTAAAATTTAGACTATTTAATATAGGTAGGCTACAATCCACATAATTTTTTGAGTGTACAATTTTAGAAGAATTATATATTTTGAACGAGTTCACTTATAATCATTTTAGTTTATTTCAACAAATGTTTGTGGGAAAAATTAGACTTGTTTTGAAGCAAATTGTATTTCATTAAAATGCAAACACCATTTATGCAATTTGATATATTTCACTTCGATTTATTTGTTTAAAAATTTGATTAGTTATATAATATTTAGTGGTGTAGAATAGCTGTCTTCTTTGTGTTGAGTTAGATTTTTAGTTAAAATAAAAGTATCTCCAACCCGATCCAACCCAACTATAAACAAATCCTAAGATTCTAAAAAATTTGAGTGGGTTTCGAATTGGTATTTTCAACACCATAGTATACGGGTCGGGTGATTAAAATGACAAAACCTAAACCACTCGAGTCATGTACACCCGATCCAACCCAACTATAAACAAATCCTAAGATTCTAAAAAATTTGAGTGGGTTTCGAATTGGTATTTTCAACACCATAGTATATGAGTCGGGTGATTAAAATGACAAAACCTAAACCACCCGAGTCATGTACACCCGTACCTGCACCACTTTTTTTTTATGAGTAACCTGTTTACCTGCACCACCTTGATTTTGCAATAAACAAGCAAAAATTATTTTTTTCAAGCGAGGTAGCCAAATAATGGTGGATAACATTGGACGTACCGATTGATTTTCACCTGCATATAAAATATAAAATACAGGAATACGAATTCTTGTTGGTCTAGGTATTTTTCCTCAGAACGATCAGCTCCTCCTCGTAGTGACAGGTTATAAAATCACACAAGCATATTACCATACTGGGGGCTTGACCATACTAAATGACATTTCTACTCGGCCAGATAACAATCAATGATCAAAATTGCGATCAACTTGCATCTGCCGGCAGCTTCTTTCATTTCCTATGGCACTTTGTTTTAGGAACTGTTCCTTGCTGGCCTTTTCAACGTTCGATTTTATTGTCCATCAAAACTGTATATCTTGGCAGAGTATTAGGCCTAAACTCGAGATTTGTGGAGCAGGAAGAACCCTCCTATCTCTATATGTGTCCTAGGATTGGCCAATAATCAACTCAAAAACACGTGACAATCATCACATCTGGGATACTTCTCTAACACTCATTTGGAGGAAAATAAAGAGATAATTACTATCGCCTTACCTGGTAATCTCGCTAAGCAAATTCTTCGTCAGTCAGGACCTGGCTCAAACAAAGCGACTTCAAGGTTTCCGGATGTGCCAAAAGGTTTTCTAGCAGGGTATGTTGGAGAGACGCAGAAGAACTGATTCGAAGTTCCAGTCTCCTACTTAAGTCGGCCTTCATTTCAAAATTTATGGAATGTGGTTGAACAAGAGTTCGGCTTTGATCATCCAATGGGTGGCTTGACAATTCCCTGCGGCCAAGATGCATTTACTCATGTTATCTCTTGCTTGAGCTGGTCATAAGAAAAAGAGAGCAGGTAAAAGAGAATTTTGAAGGGGAACTAGGAAGGATAGTTGTAATTGCAACATGTAGATGACTTCCTTCCTCACCTCCCGCTCCCGAGCTGATATATAGATTTATGAGATGGATGACAGAAGATTACCTGTATATTATATTGAACAGAAAGGCATTGGTTTCTCATCACATAATGATTTTCCTGTTTCTTCTGTGCTCCTTAGGCTTCTGAAAACCCACCGACTCTGGTATTTAAGAGAACAAACATCATCCTCGCCATACGTATGAAGTATTGTCATATCCAGTCCTTTGGATGATTGAATGCCTCAAATGAACCTTGAACTCCTCTGCTCATCTGTGGAAATGAGTTCCAATTTGTAACGAAAACATTGAACTTGCTTAGTTATTCAGACACCCAGGTTATAGTTCTGATAAAACACAAGTCGCCTCACTGTGACTGATAAGGAGAACATTTTCAAGAACCGCCCAAAAGCTATACAAAAACCAAACGTAAGGGAGGAAAAGATAGCTTGCATCTTAACTCAACCATACAAACCTTTAACATGTCTAACCTTTAGTCATTCCTCCTCTGCTACGCTGGATGACACAACCGCCAGGTCTTGCCTCTTGTTCCATCCGCCTTCTAAGAACTGAAATCACTTCAAAACACAACTTCATTACATGCATCTAACCTTGTCTCAAGCATGTCGCTTACAGGTATGGACAACTATATGAACCATAAAAACTTCATTATTGATAATATGAAAGTCCTATATCAAGTGTTCTATTTGATCGTTCACCAACATATCTATCAAACTGTAGGGCATGCACGTACCCTGCATTCAGTCCCTACAATTTGTGATCTGATTGGAAGACAGGCTCATGTGACAGCTCAACCTTCATTTTCTAATATGTATATCCTATTGTTAGGTTTATGTGATCATCCAGTAGCCTACCCCGAAACTTGTAGGGCACATAACATCTCAGGCCCTACAAATTGTTCCCACTGGAAGACAAGGCCATGTGACGCCTCATGAGCTATTGCTCAACTGGGTTTCAGGCCTAGGCCCCTAAATGCGGAGGATAAGCAAGAACCCCTCTATCTATATATAGATCCTCATGAACCAACTTCGGAACCAACACAAAACAAGTTCTCAGTTTCTTATCTTAAAATATCCCTTCAATTCAACACCAAATTCATTAAAAGAAAAACATCATGGCCATTGGCTTACCAGGAAATCTTGCTAAGCAAATTCTTCGGCGATCGGGATCTGGTTCAAACAAAGCCACTTCAAGGTTTTCAGATGTGCCTAAAGGTTTCCTAGCAGTGTATGTTGGGGAGACACAGAAGAAACGGTTTGTAGTTCCAGTATCCTACTTGAGCCAGCCTTTGTTTCAGGATTTGTTGAGCATGGCTGAAGAGGAATTCGGGTTTGATCATCCAATGGGTGGCTTGACAATCCCCTGCAGTGAAGATACATTTACCTACGTCACCTCCAGCTTGAGCAGATCATAGGGAGAGAGCAATTAAGCACAATTTTGTATAGGAATTTAGAAGTACAGGAGTCATTGCTCCATGTAGATGATATCTCTCCTCTCTTTAAAGCTGCTAAAGCATTATGAGAAGAATGAACCTGTGAATATATTGAATAGAGAAGCTTTGATTTCACATCATATGATCAGTTTCCTCCTTTTCTACTCCCTCGACTAGCAAATTTCTTCGCTGGTAATTAAAAAGAAATCACAGCATTGTCTAATAGTCAACATATATGCGCAAGGAAAATAATATTCAAAGATAGCTTGCATCTGAACTGAACTCCGTAACCTTTACAACAGTTCCATGAATCAAAAATTTCTCCACACAACCATTGTTAGTTGTTGCATCTCCTAAACGACTACACAAAGAAACAGTGGTCAAAACAACGGAGTTCAAGAACAGACTCCAATCTATTCCATATAGTCACACACTTATGTACTTCCTCGAATCTATAAATTTATCTTGCCATAAACTCCAAATTCAACTTTTATTCCGGTAATTTTACAAACGTAAAATAGCTACCAAATATTATTTTAACTATTGTTATCATGAATAGTTTTGCTTATTTCTGAATGGTAAAGAGATGTAGCCATTTCCTCAGGCTTGGACATATTCATGATACAATCAAACAGAGGAAGAGATCTAACGAATAAGTAATGCTACACGGCAGGGTTTACTTGTACAAAAACAAATCCGGTACTAACTCCCATAGCTCATCACATTGTCACAGGAAGGAACTTCCTTCCACTTTTTTCATTTTAATGATATTACTTGTGTTGTTGAAAAAAATGACCTGGAAACTTTATATTAGATACACATAGGTTTTACAAGATGAAAAGGGAAACATCATATGGGATTTGTGTATTTAGGTTTTACATTGGTTGTACTCCCGTAGATCCTAAAATGCAGTGTTCAGGTTCTAGATTACCTTAACCGTTCCCCTTCGGCCAATTTGAAGAGAAATACCCCTTCTGCCAAAATGGATGCGGCAACCACCACACGTCTTAACTTCATCTTCCCTCTGGATTGTTAGATACAAAACATCAATCTATCAAAACTTGTCTGAAACATGTCTGCAACAGAAATGGACAACTAGCTTAACTATAACTTCATAATTAATATGTGAATGCCCTGTCCCAATGTATATGTGGTGATCCATTAGCATATCCATCATACTTGTAGGGCACGTACCCTCTTCTCTGTCCTTACAATTTGTTCCGCCATTAGAAGACAACTAGAATCAATACCCACGGCTACGCCGCGGGAACATATAGTCGTATTCGGCAAAAAAAAAAATATAAATAATGAAAATAGTTAAAATTGTAAAGTGGGTACAATTTTTTTTGTTCAATATGTTTCTTGTTATGCAAGACAGCGTACAATCATGTCACAATGTTATTTACAAAACATAAGTAAAAAAGAGTTACCTTAATATCCTTGTACCCCAAGGAAATACATGTTTACAAATGACCCGTTAAAATCAATCCATACCCCATACCCCATTATCTTTTGATAAAATTAGAGCAATCTTTTTAGAAAAGAGAAGTCATCATGAATCCATAGCCAAAGAAACTGAATTGATCATAAAATTATGTGGGAGAAAGTCACTAAAGTACTGCTCTACCTAAAAATGTTACTGACAAAGTTACAATAGTGAAAGTAAACAAATAAGAGGTGCACTCCCAAGTAAAAAATGTTTCTTGTGGTCAATATCATCAGCAGGAGTTTCCGTCCAGTCTCTCTAAGCATCGGATAATCATTTTTCTCACCATTGCTAACAGCCGCATCTTCCCTACAGCTAGTGCTATCAGTAATACTTTCTGATCCAGTCCCTTTAACATAGGATGATCCATTCTCTCACCAATATTAACAACCACATCCTCTAACTTCCCACCAATGCTGACAACCACATTCCGCTTGCATCCAATTTCATCGCAATGGTTCCTGACTTATCGTTTTCCTTGCAGTTAGCCTAATCAGGAAGGATATCTTAGGTTAGAATTCCATTCTCTAGAGTCTCCCACCTGACAAACATCAAAATAAAGTGAAAAACATGAAATTTCCTAACAAAGTCTTATTCGAGAGAGATTCTCATGCAACTTCAAATGCTCATGACAGATCTCAAGCATTTCATGAGCAAGAAATGGTTCTTTTTGTTTTTTTGCTAGGGTTGCAACAGCAGACAAAACACAAAAGTACCTGGTGGCTTCAGTTCATTCCCCTCCTACTCTTGTTTCTCAAAATCTTGTGCCCCTAGTAAGGATTTGGGACCTCAGTCTCGCATAACAGCAAGAACACATTTACTTCACCTGCAACAAAACCACACATGAAATCCTCTCCTTCAATAAACAGCCCTGCAACCCAATACCATCCACATAAATTCTCCAACTCAAGAAAGGCTCGTGTTTTACTCAAGAACTACACTCTTGCATGCAAAGTTTAATCACGATAGTAGAATCCGCTATGGATAAAGTTCCATTCTTAGCACCTCAGGACACAACCTTGAAAGTTTGAGGAACCAAAACACAGGTGTGTACATTCCTTCCCTGCCCACAGCCAAGGAAAGTTCAGGTTATTTTTGACTGGACATCATAGACTAACAAAACAAATTATCAAGCTTTGATCGCATATATGGGTACCAAAGAAATCTTGGATTACTTTGAAGATGGTGGATAGTACCAAATCAACAGTAAAGAATCATTTCAAACCATTATAAACCTGCACAGCAAAGTAGGATTTGTTTCAGACCATTGTCAACCTGTACAAAGCTCTAGTTATCTCACCCTTGCAGAAGTGACCTTCCTTCAAAGTTCAAACTGTCATTATCTCTCAATTTCAGTTCAGTAGCTTCAATGCAAGAAGGCAACAGAAATTATTCTTGAGAATAAGTTAAGAGAAACAGAATAAGGAATCATTATAGTTGGGCTGCCACACAGAAACAGAAACCATTTAACGACTTGACATTCTCAGTGAAAGCAAGAGAGTATGAAATTAGAGGTTATCTTTTCTCTGTTCATTTTTCCTCATCAACCAAACAGTCCACTCATTAGTCGATCAAGCAATTAACGTAACCAACCTATGACTATGACAATTCAATCCATCAAATCGGCAGGAAATATCTCCACCACAACAATTAACAGAGCAGAGCATGTAGCAGGAGGGAATTATTTACAGAATAACACTAAGAGAATGTGGGTCTGCAAGCTGAACCTCGTCAAGCAATAATCATGTTCCAAATTCATTCTGGATCTCGTACATAAACCTTGAGCGAGTTTTAAGGCTAAACCTCAAGAGATAAAATCATATGCGACTGTCATCGGAGTATATAGCATTTTGTTTTGGCAGAAAGTATATAGCATTTTGTTTCAATGAATCAACATACAAAACTTTAACCGAGTAAGCTAACCTTGTTTTCGTCCTTTGCGAAAAGCATGCGTAACTGACATCTTTGGTTTTCTTCCAAATTGCTTTACTCCAAGGCTTAAACTGACATCTCCTATACACTTGATATAATCGATGAAAATAATCAAACCAAATAGAACAATTGGAGTTTTAAGCTACACAAAAAGGATTAGAAACCAAACAACAACCAATAGTACAGAGAGAAAGGAAGAACTAAAAGCCTCACCTGCTGGTCCATTGAACCTACTGCTGCTTCCCTTCGATCGTCTGCCACAGCAAGCCATCAAGTAATGAATAGGGCAAACATGAAACCCAACAATGATGGTCTGTGCATATTATAAAATGGAACTAATGAAGTGAAGGAGCAAAAATGCAGTAAGACAACAGGAGGCATGACAAAAGTCTTTGAATAAATAACTTTGCTATAAAATTTAGTATAGTGCATGGGAATAGGGTGATTGATCATATAACAGCACAAATCCAACCTTCCATTAACAGCACAAATCATTTAAAAAATACTTGATATACCAGCACATTATTTTCAATTCAAATCATCCATTAATATAATTTGAGTTCAATCGGCCATGGAAATAGGAATCTATAAAATCCCATGAGGAAGAAGGTGAAGAAGCTGTTCACCTGGTGGCTGCAATTACAGCAAACACGTTTCACAGTAGGAAGAAGGTGAAGAAGTTCAATCAACACTCTCATTCCTACCTGTCAGCTTCTTGTCATGCCATATCAATATTCCACGGAGAATAGACCAGAATCAAAACACCCAAAGCGAGGTTCAGTAAACAGAATAAACTCGATTAAATAGAAGCAATAATTTCAAGCTCAGTATTCAAACCTTCCCAACAGTTAGGTTGTAAATGATCTTATTGGTGAGCCAGATCCTTCCCTCACAGATATGCTTTCGAGCTATATAGGCAATCTGGACAGGCTGTTCAACCCTTCAGCAAAAGGCAAAGCTTCATCCAACTTAACACGAACATTTACCAATGTATACTCGTTCCCTCTTCCTCCAGAGTCTTGATGATGTTGTCTGTAATGTTCCCACACATCACAATCACAAACCATGTAGATATACGGAAAGAGTACGACAAACAAAACCTTTTTGAAAGCGACATTGGCTGCAGATTCTTGAGCTTCCTTCTTTCCGAAAGTATCATAGACCATCAAAACATCAGGGAACGCACCTTCTGATTATGTGCAGGGTTAGGCTTTAAGTGAGTGGCATCATTCCGAACCGCCGGCGGTGCGGCCACCCGCAGGGCCCAGTAAAATGGATCCGGAGAGAGGCGGGTCGTAGAAGTCGAGGACCAGAAAAGGAGAGGAAGAAGGAAAAATGCAATCCCAATCAATCATCCAATAAAGAAAAGAAACAGAGAGAAGAAGCAGTAACTGAATCCGAGAAGAAGACCTAGCGGCAGAGCATTATGTAGCAGAAATCCAGCTCATACCATTCAATCTTGAGGAGGGGAAGGACAACAGAAATCATGGGCAATGGCGTGTCTGCCAGAAGCCTTCCCACCGATGGCGTGTAGCAGCAGCGACAGGTAAGTGAGATAACTGGGCGTCGTACGGGAAGACACAGGAAAGCGGCAAGCAGTGGGAGGCATGGGTGGTCGATGGAATTAGGGAAAGGCGAGTTCCTCTGTTGCATTTGCTGCCGCAGTGGCGTGACTGGAATCGTTGTTCCTAAGGTTGGCGTGTGGCAGATGGCATCGCCGGGAGACACGGCACCATCGAGAACAGAAGGAAAGACAGGTCGCTTCGCGTGGGTAGTCGGGTACGGCCGGAACGGAAAGCGTGGCTGAGTGCCAGAGGCAGAGGTGGGCTAGTCCGGGAGAGACGACGCATGTTTTGCCGTGGGAGGACGATTGCCGAAGAGGTTCACCAGAAGGCCTTCGCCATTTGTCGCAAAACGACAGAAAGTGAAACAGTAACAAAAAAATATGGCGAAAAAGCGTAGCCAGCTTTTATATACTAAAAGAATGCCATGTGATGCCTCACGAACTATGTCTCAACTGGGTTTTTAGGCCCAGGAACCAGATTGGGAAGGAAGAACACCAGTATCTATATAAGGGTCCTTGTGAACTTGCTTCAGAACTATCACAAAACAAGAGTTCAAAGACTCATCTGAAACTGAAATCTTTCTCTTCTCTTCAGATTCCTAACACCACCTTCGTTCAACAAACAATCATCATGGCTATTGGCTTACCTGGAAATCTTGCTAAGCAGATTCTTCGTCGGTCAGGATCTGGCTCAAACAAATCAACTTCAAGATTCCCGGACGTACCAAAAGGTTTCCTAGCAGTGTATGTTGGGGAAAGCCAGAGGAAGAGATTTGTTGTTCCAGTGTCCTACTTAAGTCAGCCTTCATTTCAGGATTTGTTGAGCATGGCTGAAGAGGAATTCGGCTTTGATCATCCTATGGGTGGCTTGACAATTCCCTGCAGCGAAGAGACGTTTACTGGTGTCACCTCTAGCTTGTGTAGATCATAAGAATATAGGATCTAAACACAATTTTGTAAAGTAATTCAGAAGTAGAGGAGTTCTTGTTCCATGTAGATGGCTTTATACTGTCTTGAAACCTGACAAAGATTTATAAGATGAATGACTAAATGTTACCTGTATATATCGAAATGGAAATTCCTGATTTCACGTCATACGATCCACTATCCTCTTGCTTCTGCTCCCAGACTCCAAAATTTAATTTATTTCAGTCCACAATAACAAAATGAGGGTTTGTTGCTCCGCCGTGGTGTTTGAACCACTCTTCATATCATGCACAAGAAAATTTTATTTTAAATCAACCAACAGGCAAACTGACCATTCCCTGCTTGTATTTTTACATGTCTAGTACATGTATTATGACAAAATCATGCAAAAACAGTGATCAAAATGTGACAAAGCCATAACGAATTGGTTACCAATACAGGGTTCAAGCAGTAAAAGTGGCTAATCCAGCACGATATCACCATCACTGCTTTAATTATAAGAAATCATGCATGATGGCCAAGAAAAGCACATTACATAAAGGAACTAAGTAGTAAGCACTATACCAATTCAGACAGTCCACTATCAGATTTTTCATATCCAGTAATTCATGTTCCGTTACTTTTATGATGATGTTGTTTGTTATTGTTATCGTTATTCTTACTTCAATTTTTTTCTCCTATGAAATGTTTCTTGCTGGTACTGAGACATTAGCAACGATGGAATGGACCATGTCAGATGAAAAACCCAAGAGTGATGCAGAAAGCACAAGAAGTGCAACACTTGTTCCGTAGTCAAGGTGATGTTAATGAAGATGGACTTCACGAATTGAAGTACCTGGACTCAGTTATCGAAGAAAGCCTGAGAATGCACCCACCATTTCCTTTACTCGTTCCAAGAGAAGGAACAGTGAGGCTTCAAAATGATTACTATATATTCCAGAGAAAGCTAGAATAATCATCAATGCTTGAACTATCGAAAGGGATCCTTGTGACAGGAAAGAACCCCAAGAAATTGTCCCCTGATTGGTGTCTTCATCTACTACAAAGGGACTGATTTCAAGTTCAACCCATTCAATGCTGAAAGGAGTGTCATGGACTGTCATTGGGGATGGCTAGTGTGAAACTTATGCTACCGAATGTTCTCATCATTTCGAATGGAAGATACATGCCAGATTGAAGCATGAAGATATGGACATGGAAGAAAATTTTGGTGCCGCAGTAAGAAGAAAACACACTTATCATTGATTCCCATTGCAAAGGTTCCTGCAGGTATACTATAAGTTAGGAGAATAGTACAAAATCTGGAGGGTAAGGAGGAAAGGTTAAAATTGGCCGTTTCAAGATCACATGGTTTTGTCTTCTAATTCAACAGTCAATCTAGAACTTGGGAGTGGGTTATAGTTATTATTTATGCAAATATAGTGACAGAAGACAGTGTCCCACCAAATTCCAGATGACAAATCATTTGCCAAGGCAACCCCTCAAGGTTTCAGACATCAAGAAAAATTATGCGCTCACCGTTCACTCGAAATCATGTGCCTTTGTCCTTATGGGAACGAAGCTGTGAGAGATAACGACCTTAATGAACTCCACAAACTAAAAGGACAGCCAAATCTATAAGGACAACAAGGACTCACCAGATATGAGAAAGACGGAAGAAATTCTTCCCGACAGAACCTTGTGAAGGCTGGTGGTGCTGCCATTTACATTAAAAGATGTAGGGCATGTACCCTCCTCTAGGTCTCCACAATTTACTTACAGGACCATGTGATGCCTCATCACTGTGTCTCATCTCCAAGTGGTCAAGCTCCAAATTATGGAGTAGGAAGAACCATCCTAAATCCTATCTATATATAGGTCCTCATGAACTTGCTTCAAAACCACCACAAAGCAAGCGTTCAAGTTTTCATCTGAAAAATCTTTCTCTACATTTCTCAAACGCCCAGTTTTTTTTACACGAGATTATGGCTATCGGCTTACCTGGTAATCTTGCTAAGCAAAATCTTCGACGATCAGGATCAGGCTCGAACAAATCAACTTCAAGGTTTCAAAATGTGCCTAAAGGATTCCTAGCGGTGTATGTTGGTGCAGAGTCCCAGAAGAAGCGATTTGTAGTTCCTGTGTCCTACTTAAGTCAGCCTTCATTTCAAGATTTGCTGAGCATGGCTGAAGAGGAGTTTGGCTTTGATCATCCAATGGGTGGCTTGACAATCCCCTGCAGTGAAGAGACATTTACTCATATCGCATCTTGCTTGAGCAGATCATAAGAAGAGAGTTGTTCAAAGACAATTTTGAATAGAAATTAGGTTGGATAGGAGTAATTGCAACATGTAGATGACTTTTGTCCTCACTTTCGTAGAGCTGATTTAGCTTTATGAGATGGATGACAGAAGTTTACCTGTGTATGTGTACTGAATAGAAAACCATTCATTCATCATCACATAATCAGTCTCCTCTTTCTTCTGCTCCTTTAGCTTATGAATGATCCACTTTTCTCTATCTTCTGCTCCCATACTACAAAAATCTTTTCATTTACTTCCATCCATAATAACAAATTGAAGGGTTCACAGTGGCTCCATGGTGGGATTTGAACAACCCTTCATATCCTGATTTGCCAGAAGAAATTGTTTCAATCAACCAACATGCATAATGACCATTTCCCATGCAGTAAAAACATCCATTTTTTTACATTCCATCTTGTGTAGATCACAGAAGAATTCTGAAAAGCTGTTGAGTTTGGTCAATTGAAAAGCATTTTTTATGGCTTGAGCTAAGAGTTAAATTTATATTAGACCTTGTCTAACTGACCATATATATGCAAGATAAAAGAATCAAAGCTAGCTTTGTCTATAGCTTAATAGCCATTGTTACTTTGCCTAATCGAACTACAAATAGAAACAGTGGAGGGAACTCCTAGTTCAACAACCCATTTCCAATTATTCCAGTTGTAGCTGCACTTACGTACTTCCTGAAATCCATTATTTTTATCTTCTCCGAAAATTCATTATATGTCGTTATATTTCAGTAAAATTACCTTCATGAATACTTTTGCTTAATTCTTGATGGCATAGATATGAAGCCATTTATACACGAAGGCTAGGGTTGGGTTATCCAAAGAATATTTCCCTTAAATAGACAACCAGTTTATACAATTTACATTCATTTGAATCCTAAAATGCAATGTTGAAGTCATATACTTTTAACTTTACTCATTCTCCATCTGACTCGTTGCCAGAGGCCACAGCGACCACACGTCTTCATCTCCAAGTAGTTAGACCTGAATTCTTTTAAAACCGAAGCTCATGATATCAAACTTGTCTGCAACATGTCTAGAACAGATATGGACAGCTAGCTTCACCATAATAACTTCACTATCGTTACATGAATGCCCTATCTCAATGTGTATGTGGTAATCAATTGGCCTGCCCATCAAACCTGTAGGGCACTTACCCTCCTCCCAGTCCCTACAATTTGTTCGACCGGTGGAAGACAAGGCCATGTGACGCTGAAAGAACTATGTACCAACTGGGATTTAGGTCTAGGATCCAAATTAAGGAGAGAAACAATACCCACTATGTCTATATAAGATCCATCTAAACTTGCTTCAGATCAACACATTGGTGATCAAGATTCTCGTCTGAAATCACAATCTTAACACCACTTTCATCCAAAAAAACAAAAACTATGGCTATTGGCTTACCAGGGACTCTTGCTAAGCAAATCTTGCGACGGTCAGGATCTGGCTCAAGCAAAGCAAGTTCAAGGTTTCTAGACGTGCCAAAAGGTTTCCTAGCAGTGTATGTCGGGGAGACCCGGAAGAAGCGATTTGTTGTTCCAGTATCCTACTTAAGTCAGCCTTCATTCCAAGATTTATTGAGCATGGCTGAAGAAGAGTTTGGCTTTGATCATCCAATGGGTGGCTTGACACTTCCCTGCAGTGAAGAGAGATTTACCCATGTCACCTCTTGCTTCAGCAGATCATAAGGGAGAAAGCGGTTCAACACAATTTTGTATATGAATTAGATAGCATGAGAGTAAATATTCAATGTAGATTACTTCCGTCCTGACTTATCCAGAGCAAATGAGATGGATGACATGAGTGTACATGTGTATAGCAATATATGTACTATTGAATAGAAAGGCAGTCATTTCTCATCACACAATCTTCGTCTTCTTCCTACCTTTCAGCTTGAAGTCTGGTAATTAAGAGAAGTGCTGCTGATAAGCATATGCACCCTTTGTATAACATGTGAAGTATTAAGATTGCCATGTCTATTGCTCCTCTGTTAATCCGTGAAAGTAAGTTCTATATACTTAATATGTAATGAGCATATTGAATTTTGCTCAGTTTTCCAGACAGTTAAAATTTTACTGTTGATAAAACACGGGTAGGAGTCAAACATGTTGCCCAAAACCACAGAACAACACAGCCTACATCTTAACTCAAACCATACATGACATTTACCACTGTTCAGTGAGCCAACAACTATTAGTAGTGTAGCTAGACCTGATGTAGCACACTATTACTACTGTTCCATGAACCAACTGTATACGGACAATAGCGTACTTGACCCGAGTAATTTTAGTCCTTCCCAAGAAAGCAGGCTCAATGTGTTTTGAGGAAACTTCTCCTACATTAAAATGTCGTTACTTTCAGCTCCAGATACTTTGGCTTACTACTTATTAGCATGGAAGTTTAAGAATTTGCTCAGAGGTGAGCCAACTCATATGATACCAATAGAGGGAAACAAGAGATCCGACGAGTAAACTTGGCCAACAAATATTAGCAACAAGAAATCCATTGTATGGTACATATTATATTTTCAAGATTTTGAGATAACACAGTCCTGCTTGGGGGAAACTACATCACTAATGTTCGAACATATGCTTTATAGTTAAGCTTTCACAATCACAGCCAGCCTTTCTTTTCTATTTTGTCTTGATTAGACGTAAGTCTTAGATGAATTGAAAAAATATGACCAAGGGCAAGGACCATGTTGAATGCCAAGACACGCAACCCCACAAGAAGTCTCCGGGTTTTGGTGGACACTTTAGACCCTCCAATAGAAAAGCCCCAACTAAAGAGCAGACTCCTCTTCATAAATTAAATTACCCTAAACTTTAAATAGATCCTAAACAGATATGTTAATCTCAAATGTCTTACCTTCGTTCACTCCTTCTCTGGTACGTTGGATGCCACAGCAACCAGTCCTCTGCCTGTTAGTCCTACCTTCTCATTAAAACAAAATTCATTACATGTACCTTTGTCTAAAGCATGTCGCCTATAGATATGGACAACAGCCTTTATCATAACAACTTCATAATTGATAATATGGAAATCCGACTTTCAAATGTTTTATGTGATCGTCCACCAGCCTACCCCTCAACCTGTAGGGCACGTAGCTGGCTTTCAGTTCTACAAATTGCTATATGATTGCAATTTGCAAGACAGGGCCATGTGACTCGTTAAACTTCATTTACTTATACGAATGTCCTATGGTCAATGAATTATGTAATCATCCATTAGCCTACCCCTCAAACTTGTAGGGTACTCACCTTCTCATGCCCCCAAACTTGTACCCATTGGAAGACAAGGCCATGTGACACCCCATGAACTATGTTTCAACTGCATTTTATGCCTAGGCTCCAAATTGTGGAGGAGAAGGAAGAACCTATCTATCTATATATAGATCCTCATGAACTAGTGTCATAACCAACACAAAACGAGTTCTCAATTTCTCCTCGCTTCTTTTTTCCAACACCAACTTTGTTCAGAAAAGAAAAAGACATTATGGCCATTGACTTACCGGGTAATCTTGCTAAGCAAATTCTGTGACGCTCAGGATCTGGCTCAAACAAAGCAACTTCAAGGTTTTCAATTGTGCCTAGAGGTTTCCTAGCAGTGTATGTTGGGGAGACGCAGATGAAGCGGTTTGTAGTTCCTGTATCATATTTGAGCCAGCCTGCATTTCAGGATTTGCTGAGCATGGCTGAAGAAGAATTTGGCTTTGATCATCAGATGGGTGGCTTGACAATTCCCTGCAGTGAAGAGACATTTAGTTATGTGATATCCAGCTTGAGTAGGTCATAGGAGGGGAACAATTAAACACAATTTTGTAGAGAACTGAGGATAAGAGCTGTTCAATGTAGATGCATCTCTCCTCTAGTTTGTTAAGTTGATAAGGTTTTAGTAGATGACAGGGAAATTTTACCTGTACATACTGAATACAAAGCTTTTCCTTTTACATTCCACTGTCATATCTTTCAGCTTCCCTGTGCTACTCATACTTCACCACTCTAATCTCCGGTAGCCTCTGGTACCTTGTAAAGTGCATCACGCCCATTCCAAACTTGCTTATCAGATATAACAAGTTTCAATCGTTCAATCCTTCATCACACAGGCAATCCTTAGCAATTCAAAAGCTGCCAGACCAATTTTTTTTTAATTTGTTACTTGGTATCCTCATGCGGACTAAGAATGTTAGCCATAACCACGATGCACAAAGCAACGAATTTAGCTAATACTTAAGCAACAGAAACGGTCAGAATGTTATCTACCACATACCAAGTTATATATTATAATTCAAAACTAAACAAAACAGTTGAATTTGGTAATGAATCATAGACAAAATTAAGAATTGAAATCAAGAAATAAGCAAAAAAAATCACAGAAAATTACGAAAAGAGACAGCTTCTTAGCTGCACCTACAATCTTGATTCAAAACTAAGCAAAACTATTAAATTATGTAATGAACCATAGGCAACAATAATAAAGCAAAAAAAAATCACAGAAAGTTCAGCCATTTGTGCTTCGTTTGCAATATACTTATATGCGAGTATGTGCAAAATGTACTCCTAAGTTGGTTGATAAAAACTTAAATAATCAGGGTAGCTTGCAGCTGCAGTACATGCCCTTTATGAATGCTTAGTGAAGCCACAGGATTCTCTTTATAGCCTGGGGTTTTTTCCCCAATGAATAGCAGAGGTTCTTCACCAAATGAACTAACCAACGTATCAGTCTTTGGAAAGTCCAATTTCCAGAACCCAGTTCAGGTTACTCCATACAGAATAGAGAATTAACTGTGATGATGTACACTTCAACTAATTCTTTTACTTTCTTACGAATCCATGTTCCATGACTAAAGTTTAGTACATTGCGAACATAGTACAGATATGACATCACTTACACTGCTCTGAGCCAATTGTGACCGTATCAGAGGGAAGCAAGAGATTCTACGCATGGAACATCTGGATATTTTTGTTACAAATTTTGATATTAAAGATATTCTAAATAAACTGAACTACCTCCATGTTACCTAGGATTGGAGATAGTCATAGATGCATTCAAAAACATGACCAAGGACAATGGTGGACATTTATCAATGGAACAACAGAAGGATAACAAGTATGTTTCAATGGATAATAGTCAAACAAAGAGCAGATCCTGTTCCATAGTCTAAGTTACCATAAACTTGAGTCTAACATCACCCCTGAATCCAATCTTGAAGTTAATCATTTCTTCTATCCCAGGTTGGATTCAACGATCACCACGCATCTTACTTCATCTTCCCTCAGCCATGTTAGACTTAGACCAGCATTCTCTTTAAGACAGAACTTCAATATATGCGTCCAACTTGTCAGAAACATGTTGCCAATAGAAATGAAATTTAATTTTACCACAAAACTTCATTATTGTTTGTTGATATATTTCTGTCCATTTTCTCCATTTTTTTCTTTCTTCTGAACTAGTCCTATTCTCAATGTTAAGTGATTGCCCATCGCGCTACCCCTCAATCTGTAGGGCACACACCTTCCTGTAAGTCCCTACAATTAGTTCCGACATTGGAAGACAGGGCCATGTGATGCCTCATCAACTATGCCTTACCGAGTATTAGGGTCAGGCTCCAAATTGGTGGAGTAGGAAGGAACCTCCTATCTATATATACATCCCTATGATAACGCCTCAGAAACAGCACAACACAAGTCCTCAAGCTCTCATTGCATCTTTTTCTTCATTTCTGAAAAAACAATTCGTCAAACAATCAAAGATCATGGCTATTGGATTACCCGGTAATCTTGCTAAGCAGATTCTTCGCCGGTCAGGATCTGGATCAAACAAAGCAACTTCAAGGTTTCCGGATGTGCCCAAAGGTTTCCTAGCAGTGTATGTTGGGGAGACACAGAAGAAACGGTTTGTAGTTCCAGTATCCTACTTGAGCCAGCCTCTGTTTCAGGATCTGTTGAGCATGGCAGAAGAGGAATTTGGCTTTGATCATCCAATGGGTGGCTTGACAATCCCCTGCAGTGAAGAGGCTTTTAATTATGTTACCTCCAGCTTAAGCAGATCATAAAAATAGAGAAATGAATCGAAAATTTTGTATAGAATTTAAGAGTATGAGAGTTATTACTTCATGTAGATGACATCTTTCCTATATTCTTAAGCTGATAAAGCTTTACAGGATGAACGGGCATTTTTACCTGTACATATTGAATAGAGAATCTTTAGTTTACATTCTATGATCAGCTTCCTCTATCTTTGCTCCCTCGGAATGCAAAATTCTTCTCCCTCTGGCAAAGTAAAAGAAATCAGACCATTGTCTACGCGTCCACCTATATGCAGGGAAAAATAAACAAAGATTGCTTGCATCTGAACTGAACTGCATGACCTTCAGCACAGTTTCACGAAAAGCATTCCAAATATAGCCATTGTTGACACACATATACACTGGCAGAAACTACAGAGTTCTAGAACCCATTTCAATTAACTCCACACAGATATAGTGCAATTGTGTACTTCCTCATATCTGTAGTTTTTATCTTTCAACAGAATCCACATTCTATTTTATATTTTGGTACTTTTTCCTTCACAAAGGAACTCAACTTTGTTGTACCAAATTTTATCATGGATAATTTTTCTTAATTCTGACTGTTACAGAAATGTAGCCATTTCTACGGATTTTAGTCAATTCATGATACAATCAAACAAAGGAAGAGAGCTAAAGAATATAAGCTGGTAAATAACAAACCCTGCACTAGCTTTCATAGCTTATTAGTAACACAGTTACCGGACGGAACTTGCTTCCACTTTTTCTGCATTCATGTAATGTAATTACTATCTTTTTTTTAATAGAAGACATGGAAATCCTATATGAAACATACAGAATTTACAAGATGAAAAGGGAAAATTCATTTGGAAATTTTTATATTTTAATACTTCTACAATACATAAATAATGTATAATTTATTCGTTCAAGCTGAAGTATCATTCATAAGAAAATAGTTGCACCATAAAAGTAGTCAAAATTAACCATTACGGTGAAGAAAATCATTGTTATGCTAGATTTATAATTTGGTAAAACATCATACTAAGTGGTTCCACAAAAACTAAATAAAGTGGTTCCACAAAACCTAAATATATCCTTTCTATGGAAAATTTATTCACCGTCTAGCTAAGGGCAAATTACCTTTAGAAGTTAGGTTTGCATATCAAAACAACACAACCATATTCATAGAAGTTAGGTTTTCATAAGCTTGATATTCAAATGGATCTTGCTGTCTTCAAGTAATACCAATTCCACTTCTGCCTGGTTGGGTGCCAAAACCACCAAATGCCTTACTTCATCTTCCACATGCTTTGCTAGAAACAAAATAAACCATTATATCTAACTTGTCTCAAGCGAGTCTTCAAGAGAATGGACAGCTAGCTTCACCACATCAACTCCATCATTGATATATTATCTCAATGTATATGTAGTCATCCATTGGCCTACCCCGTCAGACTTGTAGGGCACGTACCATCCTCTCAGTCCCTACAATTTGTTCCACCATCAGAAGGCAAGGCCATGTGACACCCACTAAACTATGCCTAACCCGATTTTAGGCCTGGCCTCCAAATTGTGGACGAGAAAAGCCCCATTCTATCTATAAAAAGGTCCTCTTAGCCTTGATCGAGAACCAACTGAAAACAAATGCTATAGTTCACATCTGAAATCTTTCTCTTCATCCCTACAGCACTCCAAAAGAAAAAAGAAAGAACACAATGGCTATTGGCTTACCAGGGAATCTTGCTAAGCAAATTCTACGGCGCTCAGGATCTGGCTCATATAAAGCAACTTCAAGGTTTCCAGAAGTGCCTAAAGGTTTCCTAGCAGTGTATGTTGGGGAGAACCAGAAGAAGCGGTTTATAGTTCCTGTATCCTACTTAAGCCAGCCTTCATTTCAGGATTTGTTGAGCATGGCTGAAGAAGAGTTCGGCTTTGATCATCCAATGGGTGGTCTGACAATTCCCTGCAGTGAAGAGAAATTTACTCACGTCACCTCTTGCTTGAGCAGATGATAAGAAGAGGGCAACTACATGACAATTTTGTATAGGAATTAGGAAGGACAAGAGTAATTGCTCAATGTAGATGACTTTTGTCCTTACTTTTCTGGAGCTGATAGCTTTAGTAAATGGATGACAGAAGTTTAACTGTACATGTATATTGAATAGAAAGCCCAAATTTTTTTCCTTATAATCAAAATCCTCTTTATCCTCCTTCAGCTTATGAAGTTCCACTAACTTTAAAAATTCAGAGAAAAGTATTGATGCATCAAGTATTGTCATGTCAATTCCTCCTCTGCTTCTCTTTGAGAATCAGTTCCATACATCCAGACTTTGCTTAGTTATTCAACAAGAAACAACTAGGCTAAGATATATAGCAACAAGAAACTTAACTTTATGGAACATGTCATGGTTATCTTCTTTAGAAATTTGAGATAACACACCGTCTCCAAAAACTACATCTCTGATGTTGGATACTAAGTTCTGTATTTATGATTTCAGAACCACCAGCTTTTTCATTTCTATGTTTGTCATAGATTAGAGGCAAAACATGACTGAGGACAAGGACCATGTTCGATGTCAAAGAACGGAACCCCACAAGAAAACTCTCCAACAGATAATGCCCACCCAAATAACTGATCTCTTCATGAATATTCATTACCATAAACATGACACTGAAGTGTACATGTCATGTGTTTTACCTTTATTCATTCCCTCTCTGCTGCCATGGATGCCACAACCACCACCAGTCTTAGTCATCTACCTTCTGCCTTGTTGGACCTGCATTTTGAAACGACACCTCATTAGATGCTACTAACTTTGTCTCAGGCATGTCCCGTACCTGTATGGACTATCTAGCTTTCCCATAACAACTTAAACATTGACAATAGGGGACTCATATTTCCAATGTTATCTACCACTGGCCTACCCTCAACCTGTAGGCCACGTACCCTGCTTGCATTCCAATAATTTGCCTATATGATCATCTAAAGACAGGGGCATGTTACGGTTCAAACTTCATTTGCTTATATGGATGCGTAATTTTCAATGATGTGTGATCATCCATAGGCCTAGCCCTTACATTGTAGGGCATGTGCAGGCCCTACAATTTGTTCCCATTGGAAGACAGGTCCATGTGAAGCCTCGTGAATTATGTCTCAACTGGCTTTTAGGCCTTGGCTTCAATTTGTGGAGGAGAAGCAAGAACCCTCTATCTATATATGAGTCCTCGTGAGCTAGCTTCAGAACCAACACAAATCGAGTTCCCAATTTCTCATCCTAATCACTCTCTTCATTTCTCCAATATCAATTTGTTTGAGTAAAAAGCTATGGCTATCGGCTTACCTAGCAACCTTGCTAAGCAAATTCTTCGTCGGTCAGGATCTGGCTCAAACAAAGCATCATCAAGGTTTCCAGATGTGCCTAAAGGTTTCCTAGCGGTGTATGTTGGGGAGACCCAGAAGAAGCGACTTGTAGTTCCTGTATCTTATTTGAGCCAGCCTTCATTTCAAGATTTATTAAGCATGGCTGAAGAAGAATTTGGGTTCGATCATCCAATGGGTGGCTTGACAATTCCCTGCAGTGAAGAAACGTTTACTCATGTGACCTCCGGATTGAGCAGATCATAAGAGTAGGGCAATAAATACAATTTTGTAGAGAAATTATAATAGGAGTTATTGCTCAATAGGTGCATCCCTCGCATATTTGTTAGGCTTACAAGGCTTAGCTGATTACCTGTACATAATGAATAAAAGCCTTTACTTCTACATTACACTGTCAGATTCCCTTCATTTGGCTTCCTCACACTGAAACAATCCAAACTTTGTACCCCCTGTATATCTTATGAAGCATCGCCATGTACATTCTACCTTCGCTTGTCCGTAAAAACAAGGTTCGGTCGTTGAGTCCTCAATCACAGCATTCCCTTGCAATAAGAAAGCCAAACTTACGCTGATAATTATATACTTACAAATCTGCTAGACCAAGCTGCTCGAAATTTTAAAAATATGCTTACCGGATGCAGAATGTTAGCCATAACCGCAATGTGTAAAGTAATTAATAAATGTACATAAAAGCAGCTATCTATCGTCCAATGAAACTAAACAATCAGACTAATGTCCAATTGTTGACAAGTGTGCTAGAACAAAGTACACGTTGTATCTTTAGTACACAACCTTTAGCTAGGTTTTGTGAATCAGTATAATTCTCTTTATAGCAAGATTTCTTCACCAAATGAACTATACACATAAACAGGTTTTGGAAAGTCCAACTTCAAAAAGACAAAACCCCGTTTCAGGTTTATTCCACACATAGGTAGCTGTGATAATGTACCTCTTCAACAAATTTAAAACTTCCCTCGAATCCATGTTCCTTTACTGTGTTTTAGTATACTTTGAAAGCATAGTACAGGAATGTAACCAATCATGCAGGACTGAACAAATTTTGACTCTATCAGAGAGAAGCAAGATACAGAATGCGTTCGTTAACAGAAATTGAGATTAAGTTTTGGATGAAGTAAACTAAATCCTGATGCTACCTAGGATCAGAGGAATTTCTAGGTGCTTTGAACAACATGATTGAGGACCACGTTGGATGCCGATAAATGGAACTAGAGAAGAAGATCAAGTTTAGTTATCATTGTATAATGACCACCAAAGCAGATATCCATCTTTACACTCTTAAGTTACCCTTGAAAAACACTCACATCGACCCTAAAACTGAAATCTTGAAGACAAATATTTTCTTTTATGTGTTCCTTCTCTGCTATGTTAGTTGCAACAACAACCACGTCACGTGTCTTACTTTGTCCTCCCTCTGCATTGTTAGACCTGCATTTCCCTATAAAACAGAGTTCCATAATATGTATCCAGCTTGTCTGAAACATGTAGCGAACAGATATGGAAAATTAGCTGTATCAATATAACTTCATTATTGATATATGGAAATCTTCCTTTTTTAGGGGTTCCTCCCCACCCCTCTCTCTCTCTCTCTTCTGAAGTGGTCCTATTTCCAAAGTCAAGTCATCGTCCATAGGCCTACCCCTCAACCTGTAGGGCACGTACCCTCTATCAGTCCCTACAATTTCTGTCATCAATGACGACAGGACCATGTGATGCCTCATCAACTATGTCTTATCTGAGCCTTAGGACCAGGCTTCAAATTTGTGGAGTAGGAAGGACCCTCCTATCTTTATATACGTCCCTCAGAACACAGCCCAAAACCAAAAGCTCAAGTTCTCATCTGACATATATCTCTACATTTCTGAACAATTTCATTAAAAAAAAAACACAAAGATCATGGCTGTTGGCTTACCCAGTAATCTTGCTAAGCAAATTCTTCGCCGTTCAGGATCTGGCTCAAACAGAGCAACTTCAAGGTTTACAAATGTGCCTAAAGGTTTCTTAGCAGTGTATGTTGGGGAGAACCAGAAGAAGCGATTTATAGTTCCTGCAGCCTACTTGAGCCAGCCTTCATTTCAGGATTTGCTGAGCATGGCTGAAGAGGAGTTTGGCTTTGATCATCCAATGGGTGGCTTGACAATCCCCTGCAGTGAAGAGAGATTTAGTCATGTCGTCTCCATCCTCAGCAGATAATAAGGACAGAACTACTAAAAATAGTTTTGTATAGAGATTCAGAACGATAAGAGTCGTTGCTTAATGAAAATGACATTCTTCCTCTCCTTCAAGCTGATAAAGCTTTAAGAGATTGATTGATTGAGAAATTTTTACCTGTATATAGTGAATCGAGAGCCTTTTTAGTTCAAATCATACAATCACTTTCCTCTTTTTCCTGCATTATTACACTTTCCAATTCTTCTCAGGTAATTAACAGAAAGTGTTGCTGATAAGCATGAGCATCCATACAAGTAATGAAGTACTATAGTGTCAATTCCTGCTCTGTGTATCCACCAAAACAAGCTTCAGATGTTTCAATTCGTAGTCAACAGCTATCTTCCTAGCTGTTCACAACCCAGGCTTACAGTTCTATAAAAAAAAAATTAAACATATAGACTTTCTGCAATTTATGATCGGTTACAGTAACATAAATCCGCATTTTAATATATTTACAGCGTGTAAAGTAACTAGGACGACCTACCAAGCTAAACATAAGCAAGACGAACAGAAATAACGGTGTTACAGAAGTACCCAGCTAAATCTTGTATACTAACGTGTAAAGTAACAGAAATAACGAGCTAACTCATAATACCAGTTCTGATTAGCTTCAGTTACTGCAGTAGCAGCCCAACAGGTTGAAACGACACAGTTGATTGAATATTTAACTAGGGATCTGAAGGTTGACAATGTTCATCTTTACCTCAAAGGAAGTACAGCAGCAACGTTTCATAAACCATACCCCTCTGATTAGATGACCACCCAGAAAAGTCAGTTAACGAAAGTTTTGGAGTGGTTTTATTGATAATGATGCATGTGTTCATAAATGATATAGATTGCATTGGAATAGGAGTCTAGGAAGTGTGGTTGAGAGTTGAAAGGGCTAGGAGTGGGGCTTGCTGAGTATAAGGCAGCTGCCGGATCACATGGTTATGTCATCCAATTCAACTCACGATCAAGAGTTTGACAGTGTTTTCCAATTTGTTCTGCAATTTTACCAGGATACATAGTGTGCCGCAAACTCATGGATTCAAGGAAAGAAAATCATGACAAGGACCCCACACAAGATTTTAGACATCTACAAATACATGGTTTCCTTTTCCTGGTGCTCATATGCATTTGTCCATTGAGAGAAAAGTGTTTAGGTTAACTTCAGCACTCCGAACACTGGCGCTGACCGTGATGAGCTGACAAACTTAAGAACGCAGCCAAATTCATATAAAGAAGAACAAAAATACAGCAATAAATAAAGAGGACTCACCAGAAAGGAAAAGCAAAGGGGAACATTTTCCCCGACAGAGGATTGTGAATGCTATATGAGAAGGCCGGTGGTGCTGCCATCTGCATTTGGAGCTCACCTAACTTTAGATGCTTCCTGCAAAGTTTGTTTCCAGGGAATGAGAGATAGGGATTAATATTTATTTGGCGGACAATGTGATCAAAACTATGGTCATGCTGCTTCAGCAAGTACTTTTCTATACACATACCATAAGATTTCAAGCTATTGGTGCATTGATTGTCTCCAGCAATGGGCCATTTGTGTTTGCTAGTCCATTGACGACTACATATACCACCAACTATCCATCTCTCTTGCCTTTATCATGATTCATTGACTTCGGTTTGTTTGCAGCTCCAACCTACTGTCGCCCAATCTGCATACATTAAGCCAACACAGAAACGTTTTCAAGCCTATAATTTCTTAATTAGGTGGAAGACAGAAGGGACCATCACCTTCATTAACAGTGTTTCCGGCTGGAATTCCAGGCCACACACTCGCCATGGTAAAGGATATCAAAGCATACCGTTCAAACTATATAAAGAGAGAAGCTATTGATAGTTCAAAACCCAACCAAGTCCTCCAATTTTCTTATTGAATACTTCCCATCAAGAAAAATTCCCACATACAGCTCAACTAGAGAAGAAAAATGGCTATTCTCTGCCCAAGTGTCCTTCCCAAGCCAAGTCCCCGTAGATGTTCTTCGATATCCTCAGATGTTCCTAAAGGATTTGTGGCAGTATATGTTGGAGAGGGTGGCAAAAGGAAGAGATTTATCATTCCAGTATCCTTCTTGAACAGCCCATCATTCCAAGATTTGCTGCGGTTGGCAGAAGAAGAATTTGGTTTCAACCATCCTATGGGGAGACTGACGATTCCCTGTACAGAAGAGATGTTCATTTCTGTAACTTCCAGCTTGTGTAGATCATAAGAGATTTCCAGAAGGCTAATGAGTTTAGTTAGATGACAACTTTGGTTATGGCCTCAACAGCCATTTCAATGTAACAGCTTGAATGTCAGATTCTAGATTAATGAGAAATAGCAATGACTCTTCATCAAAGAAACCAGGCTTTCTTCTAACTGCCCACATGTGCAAGAACATAGCTAAACAGTAGCATCTCAACTACATCTAAACACCTTCAGCACTGTATTGTGAAGAGCATTATCTATATAGCCAATGTTTCTCCACCTAATGAACTACACAAATCAACAGCGGGTGAAACTTGGGTTTCAGAAATCAATTCAAGTTACTCTATACATGCATAACCACAATTATGCACCTCTTCGACTTTCATTTTTTGTCCTGGAGAACATGAATCCTCCACTGAAGCAAAACCATACTCTGGCATATAATTATGTTGCACTCTTTATTATTATATTTTGGTAATTACCTGCACAAAATTTCTCTACTCTGTTTTATTAATTAAAAACTACAAGGCTTCTGCTTCATACCTGATGGTACAGAAATGTGGTCTTTTCCTCAGCTTTGAGCCAACTTATGATAGCATTATGGAGGAACAAGAGATCTGAAGAACAGCCTCACTCAAATGTATTATTAACAAGCAAAACCTCTGTATGGAAAATGCCGAATATATATGTGGTTCTTTTTTACAGTTCAGGACAACACACCACCTAGCTGAGGGAAAACTACGTCTCTGATGTTTAGATGAGATTCAAGTTTTATTTGTGCTCTCCCAGCCATAACCACTGCCAGAACCAAATCCAGCTCTTTTCTACGTCTTAGGATTATAGGGAAGCTTACATAGACCAAGGACCATGTTCGATGGCAATAAACAGAACCCCACAAGCAGCATTATTTTGGTTATTCGTCGAGGTGATTTGAAAGTCCCATTAGATAATGCTGAACGAACAAAAAACACATCTCTCTTTATAATATAAGTCACCATACTATAAGTTATGCCCACAAGCCGATCTCCTTGCTCGTGCAGGCTCTGATCCCTCTCTCCTAGATGTTCACGATCTCCGCTTGCGGCATTGATTTTGTATTTTTTGGTAACAGTATTGGTTTTTTTACCCCAAGATTTAGCCCATGAGTAACTAAGGACATTTAGTGTCCACCTTTCCGTGCAACCAAGAAAACAGTTCCCCAAACTTCATGTTCAGATGGATTCTAAAATGCAATGTTCAAGTCAAATATTTCGCCTTTATTGATTCTTTTCTGCCACTAGATGCCACACCCAACAGATCCTAACTTCATCTTCCTTCTGCCTTGAGACCCACTTTCTCTTATAAAGCTGTACTTCTATCTAACTTGTCTCAAGCACGTCACCAATAGATATGGACAAATTGATTAAGCTAGCAACCTCATTATCAATATATGGATGTCTAACGGTTATGTCATCATCCATTGGCCTACTCCTCTACCAGTAGGGCACGTACCCTCCTCTCCGACCCTACAATTTGTTTCATCATTGGAAGAAAGGATCATGCGACACCTCATGAACTATGTTTGTACCAGGTTTTGGGTCAGGGCTCCAAATTTGAGAAGAAAAGAATGCAAGAATCTGTCTATATATAGGTCCTTATGAACTTTGGCACAGAACCAACACAAAATAAGTAGTCAAGTTATAATTGTACATCTTTCTCTTCATTTATTTGATATCAGTTTCTTGAGCAAAGAAATATAATGGCTATTGGCTTACCTGGTAATCTTGCTAGGCCAATTCTCCGATGATCAGGTTCTGACTCAAAACAAATCAAGATCTACGCTTCAAGATGTGCCAAAAGGTTTCCTCATGGTGTATATGGGGAAGGCCCAGAAGAAAAGGTTTCTAGTTCCTGTTTCCTACTTAGGCCAGCCTTCGTTTCAGGATTTGCTGAGCATGGCTGAAACACCTAAAATCTAATTACTGACTCTCAATGAAAGTAAGCTGTATGCGGTGATGAGCTGGTATATATAATAAATAAATAGCACTAATAAATATTACGTACCTGATTCGGTGCAGTGTGCAGTCCCAACAACAAGCTTAGGAGGATAGGGGGTATAAACACTACTGTGCTGTAAACAGTGAGCAGTAAAATCCAAAGAGTCAGCCATGGGGAAGTCAAGAACCCTCGCCCTTGCTAAGATCAGTCTTGCGAACAGCAGGCTTGTGATGAGAGCAACCTGTAGTACCAGTATTATAAGCCCCGCAAGAGCTGCCACTTGAAGGATTGGCGTATTGCTGCTTTGCAATATGTGTGGTTTTGCAGGCTTCGCCATTTAGATTTGCTTGACTCCAGACACCTACACTCGCAGGGGGAGTATAAAGCGTAAACATAATTCACGATGATCGGTTCTGTTCATAACAGCTACAGATTTGATAACTTTTCAAAAAACCCACTTGCTGGAGGAAATAGTTATCAAAGACAAATATATAAACCGATGGGATGCATTAATATTTACAGAATTAAAAAGGTAAAATATGAAGGAAAGAATTTGGTAGACAAGTTGCAGGGGTTGCCTTTACTGAAAAACATGTATCCTTAACACAAGGAAGCGAAATGTGAACATTCAAATATTTTCTAGGTGGTCCTTAGAAAGTTTCATCTCGATTAGCAGAAAGAGACTCTGTCTCCGAGCTATAATCCTGAAATTATTGAGAATGTCCAGGTATGCCTCCTTAAGGATTGTCATTATAACCATTATTTGACCAACCCGTACAAGCCAAACAGTTCATGAAATGATAAGGAACTTGCAGAATTACCTTAAGGTGGAATTTAAAGATAGAACTGGCTACTTTAGGACTTTTAGATCTCCTTACGGACGCAAACTCTGTTACTGAAGATCTTTCAGCGTGTTCTTTGACATAAGATGCCTATCAACCACATGACTCCAGAAGAGACCTAAGATCTTGTCATCACCAGCAAAAGAAGCACTGAAGCTCCGATATAGTTTTAGAGTAATCATCAGCCTTTTCTTGTACATTTCATCCAACAGATCTGAAGCAACGCTCACATTCCCTGATTTCCATTGTGCATACGCTAAACTGGTATATATCACACTATCCCCTGATATGCCTTTCTCTTTCATAAGACCAAATATTTTCTTAGCACAATCAACCTTCTCTATTTTACAAAACCTCCTTATTAGAGCCCTGTACAGCGAAACATCAACACAGAGACCTTTATTCAGAAATTCATCAGGGAGTTTGATAATCTCCTCTTCCTTCTGGTGATCACAATGAACATCTACAAACCATGAATAGGTGCAGTAATTAGGAGGAAAGCCAGCACTAAGCATGCTGAATAAGTACTCTGTAGAGCATTTCATATCTCGTGCCTTGCAGAACCCATGGATCAATGCCTTGTATGTAAACTGGTCAAGCTTCAAACCTGCTCCAATCATCTTGTCTTTCACCTTCAAAGCTGATGCCATATCTCCTATTTTACAGTACGCATTGATTAAGGTGTTGCATGTAACATTATCTGGTTCGATATTTCTTTCACCCATCTCGATCAAGAGTTTATTTGCATCCCTTATCCTGTCTCCCTCACACAATTTGCGGAGAATTGAATTATAAGTCACAACTGTGGGATAGAGCCCTTTATCAGCCATGGAATCTCGCAAACTCAAGGCTGATTCAAGGTCATTCAACCTACAGTAACCGTCAATTAAAGTAGTATAAGTCACATGGTTGGGGACTGCATCTTTAATTTCCTTAAAAAGCCTCATAGCCTCCCTCATTCTACCTTCTCTACTGTATGCATAGATCAGAGAATTATAAGTAACAATATCAGGAGAAATCCCAGCCGTTTCCATCCTATCTTGAACGGACAATGCTTCGTAGTGCATCCCCTTTTTACAATACAAGGAAATAAGTGTATTGAAAGTGAAAAGATCAGGAAGAACACCATTCAACTCCATTTCAGTCAAGAACTTCTCTGCCTTCTCCGCATCTCCAGACTTGCAACAAGCATGAATCAACACATTGAAAACATGGACATTGGCGACTACGCCAACTTTAACCATTTTCTTATAGACTTTCCACACCATATCAGTTAACTTATCCTTAACCAAAGCATTCAACAACACGGTGCAGGCATGCAAATGCGGCTTGAAGCCACTGTCCCTCATGTGCTCGAAAACCTGCACTGCCTCGTGGGTCATCCTGGAACTACCATACACTATCACAAGCCAGCTCAAAACGTGGGAATTCACATCCGGGTCATCATGAGTCCTCACCAAAGCAGTTAACACAGAAGGGCTCGACAAGAAATCCTTGTGAGCTATTTTCTCGAGCAGGTGGTGTGCAGTCTTGAAGTGTTTGTGCTTGGTTAATATGTGTATCATAGTCCATGAGGATTGTACGGGGTGCTTATAGTTCGGAATGGACGACTCAATCCACCGAAACAACTCCCACGCAAGACAGGGACTGTAGCTATACGCAGAGAGTTGCAGGAGTACCTCTCGGAGCCTAATTGCAGTGAGATTAGTGTCAATCTTCGGTTTCAGGAGATTGCCCCAGCATCCCTTTACCACCACCCCACAGATGCTATGAACCAACCGTAATTCACTGCTCGGAGGAACTAAAGTTGCCATTGTTTTGGAAGGCTGCTCGGAGGAGCTGCTGTGGAACTCCACGCCGGCGTCACTTCGGTGCAATGAGACAATTTTACCTTTGAAATGTGCTCGGCTTGCTCCGATCTTCTTGTGCCGTGCCTTTCTCCCGTAGCAAATCGGCCGGGAAAAATTAATTAACCGGATCGCGTTCCGTATGATATGGTTAGACTTGGTTCTCTCGACCGGCTAAGATGACACCCAAGCCCAACTCATTTGAGGCCTGCATTCCGGCCTCGAAGAAGGAAGCCCGGTACCGTCTTGTTTTTTGTTTTTTATAAGAAGCCCACTTGACCAACTAGTTACCGTTGTGTGATTCATTTGTATAACGGGTAAATGACACATTTGGTCACCGAGATTACTAAATCGTGTCATATTTAGTCACTAGAAAAATTTAATATCAATTTTGGTCACTCGAATTACTGACACATGTCACATTTGGTCACTCTTCTGTAGCCTCTGTCCAACTCCGGTCACTCGAATTATTGAAAAATGTCACATTTAGTCACTCGTATTACTGAAACATGTCACATTTAGTCACTCTCCCAAAAGTTTCCGTCCAACTACATTAATGGAGTTGGCGGAAACTGACGGGAGAGTGACTAAATTTGACCAGTTTCGATAATTCGAGTGACCAAAATTGATATTAATTTTTTCTAGTGACTAAACATGACACAATTTAATAATCTCAGTGACCAATTATGTCATTTACCCTTTGTATAACTATACACGTCTTGGTAATAAATAAAGGGTTAATACCTTATTTTGGCCCGAACTATGACTATATAATCAACTTTGGCCCGTGGTTTCAGAAATTAACATCCTGACCTCAACTATGCAGCATATAGACTCAATTAGCCCGACACATAGTTTGACCGTCAATTTGGACGGTCAACTCTGTTGACCGTTTGTCAACACGCCATGCTATTGCCTAGTAAGCCTAAAAATCATTAAAAAAATGCAAATTTCAAATTATTTTTCTAATTTTCCTTATTTATTATCAAATTAACCAAAAATAAATTATAAAAACATAAAATAAATTTGATTTTTATTTTTTGGATAATTTGAAAAATGATAAATTTTATAAATTAAATAAAAATTATCAAATTATATCATAATTTTTAAATTTATAAAATTTATATTGATAATTTTTGGTTAATTTATAAAATTTATCATTTTCAAATATCAAAAAAAATTATTTTATATTTTTAGAATTTTATTTTTTGATTAATTGGAAAATGATAAATAATAGAAATTAGGAAAATAATTTGAATTTAAATTTTTTTAATCATTTTTAGGCTGACTAGGCAATGACATGGCATGTTGACTAACGGTCAACGGAGTTGACCGTCCAAATTGACGGTCAAACTATGTGTCAGGCCAATTGAGTCTATATGCTGCATAGTTGAGGCCAGAATGTTAATTTCTGAAACCACGGGCCAAAGTTGATTATATGGTCATAGTTCGGGCCCAAATAAGGTATTAACCCATAAATAAATGAATAGTTATAAAGGACTAAGAAAAGAAAATTTGTGTCAATATACCAAAATGAATAAGCTAGGAACAATATTATTGGAATCATGATAATAGCTAAATATGCAGCATAAATTTCTTGAAGGACTCAGAAGAAAATCTTGAACATGCTAAATAATGAAACCACCAAATGATTCATATTTATGGAACACTAGAGACACATCACTATCATCACACCCTCAATGTTGAAATCAAGTTGACATGGACAACAAATTGCCTCGTGAAACAATACAAGTTCAAGAAGAAAAAGGTCATGATGCTACCAAAATATAGCCAAGAGCCAAGACAATCTCCCGTAAGATCCGCCTTGCTCGTTTCTTGACAAGTTATATCTTCATTCTTTCTAGTGTCTTTACTCATATTCCTCTATTGCAACTTCTCGTACTTTCACTATGAAGTAGATATATTAAGCACATATCCTCTTTCTAATAGTGAAGTCTCCTTAATTGTATCATTTCTCCATTAATTTGTCTCTATAAAGTATCTTCCTTTTATTGAATCGCAAATTTGAGTTGTCTTCCAAAAAAGGTTAAATCTCATTAACTTGTCATTCCTCCATATTTCGTCTTGATAAAATATCTTACTATTATTTGGATGATAAATCCGAATCATCTTGCCAATAGTTAAATCTCATTAACTATGTCATTCTTCTGTCGCTGGAAAACTAAAAAGTATCTTCCTTTTTATTTGAATAACAAATCCAAACACAAACTTTTCTCAACTTAGGCTTGTAAGTTGTAACCCAGGCAAAATTACCCAACCTAATCTGCACCCAACATGAAGCACTAGTATTGAATAGTAGAGCTGTCTTGGCCATTGTCATTCATAAAGAGAATGGACAACTCCATGTAAGTATGTAACCAAGCCCAGAAGTTTGTATTTCATCCTTGTTAAAGATGTTCGTGTATTCCAACTCAAGTTGTACAATGAGTAAATGAGGGGAGAGAAGTGATTATCTTGTTTTTCTTTCTCAGTTTGAACTAATCAAACTAAGGAACTATTCACATCCACCAAGGACAAAAGGCACCATAACTTGGCATTTCTGGTACTGGACAAGAACTCGGCTGCCAGACTGCGCCTCCCAATTCCAGCAGGAGCAAAACCGAAAGAAAGGGGTGAAAGAATGAGATGCAGAAGAAATTGAATACAAGCATTAGGTGGCCATACAATCTACATTGCTCCTCTCATAACCAGTAGTATAATACTCGTATACAATATGATTGACAAGTGTGGTCAGTTTTTCACATTACTCACATATCGATAACCCTGCACGAATCAGATTAGAAATTGGCTGTTGCTTCCTTGATTTCGTCCAAGGAGATCGCCTGCACGACGAGCAAATAAAAGCATGTAGGGTAAACAATCAATAGTTGTGAAGTCATGCTCATGCTTATCATCAAGTGTCGATGAGCCTGCTTTACCTGATCCTTGCCGGCAAAATCATTATCTGGGGTGAGAAAAAGCATGCAATGACACTCCTTCCTGCAATAGCCATCTTACAGTTAAAGCACAGAAGGGAGTATCACCATAAAGTTAATAAGACACTAGGTGAACATTATTTGGATTTTATTCCTTCCTAAAGAATGCCCTGTTCTTGGGCTCAGGAGGCGCAATTGGTTTCGTTGATTAGCAACTTCGCTAGCTAGCAATCACATAGCTGTCTTCTCCCCGAAAAACAGTAATCACAGGCTTCCATAAATGGCATGTTTCTTCACTAGTCTACAGATAATGTGTGATTCTTTCAATAGTAGAAACTGTGCAGGAATATGGGACAATACAAAAATTCGATGACAAGTCTCAGATGGCTTCGGATTGCGTAAGAAGAGAAACATTTTGCTTTCTTATACAAGCCATATCACTTACATTTACTGGTAAAACAAGTCGATCTTTACCTAAACCCAAACAATGAAAACTCCAGCATCAAGCAGTGACAACCAAAGCTCAAGCTTTTGAAGATGTTAGTTTTGGTAGGAAACTAGCATTCTCAATCACGAAGACTTTATAGGGCCGTCCTAGACTCATAGGCAGTGCACAAACAGCAAAATCAACTGAAAACCACTTCTCAAGATCAAATCAAGATAATGACTACTCCTCATCTCACATTCCAATCTTCCATACCCTAATCAGCTTCAGTCTGAACCTTCAGCAAATTCACAAATCATTATCCTGTTTTAATGAATCTTCACCCCACTTCTCGAGATCTGCCACAGCAACACTAGGTTTCTTAGTTTCCCAACCGAACTTTCTTACCCAGTTACAGCTTTGAAGCCAATCTGAACATATTTCTTACTTTTAATTAACAAGCGGAAAGGCTTGAACAACAGCAAGAAATGAGAAGCAATGTCTTTGCGGTCTAAATCTCCCCTTTAATTTTATCAACCACTGATATTATAAGTTATAGCTGTCACTATCGTCACGTGCAAGCAAACAGATAATGAATGAGTCTTCCTTCACCATCGTCTCTTCCAAGTACAGAATCATTAAATTGTAATGTCATATTCACCATTTCCCTTCCCTTCATTAGCAATGAGACAGGAAACTAACAATATGTTAGGCAGAATCCATGTGCCATCTCACATGAAATAAGCCACCCTCTTCCAGTACTTGAATTTGATTCTACCATAGTGGTAACTCAGCATTTCAAGACATTTCTCTCCTCAGTCCATACAAGGAAAGAGAATACTTGCACACCAGTGTCCATTAAACCATACCGTACCGGCGGTTCAACCATGAAATACCAGTATCGGAGGCTAAACCGATATGCGGTATTTATCGGTATAACGGTTGAACTACGGTTAAACCACGGTTTTACCATAAAACACCCTACCGCTGACTTTCCCGGTACGGTCTCCGGTACGGTTTCATGGACCATGTTGCACACTAGACAATAATAGAATTCTGTCACGAAGTTGAATCAGGTTCCAGAACCTAACACCTAATTTAACTAGAAGTCCCAGGAAAAAAAAATCCTCAACCAAAACGAATAAGCTTCTCATGACCTAAAACTTCCCCGGTTCATCACGAATCTTGGGAAAAGCGAGGTTATGCATTAAGAACTTGACCAGAAAGCCTACCTCTCTCTCATGGGGACACAAGGACAGTTCCAAAATCCCTGCCCTGCTTCTGCAGCTTTGTCATCATAATGCCTACAAACCATAGATTCAAAACTTCAGAACCTAGTAATACAAAGACTTCCCTCCACTTAATCCCCATCAAATTGACATCACCCCCATATTCATACACACAGAACAATATTTACCTACAAGGGCACAAAGGCGCACCCAATGAATCTTTATGCTCCGCCAATCCCTGTCAAAATCCCAAGAACAATTCCACATTCATTCCCCCATTCACAACAACAGCTCCAAAATATCTCACGAATTCGGCGAATCCCATAGTCAACAACCAAATTCAATCAGCTTTCTTTTCTCCTGGTACTTTCGATTAAGATAAAAACCTTAACCGCCGGTAGAGAAGAATCGAAATGAAGAAATTACCTTAATCACAACGGCAGTGACTCCCTTATCCACGCAGAAGTAAGTCCCCGACCTACGGGCGTACTGCTCCGAGAACTTCCTCATTATCTCGACCGACTTATCCGCGGGATCCACAGCTAAACCAGCAAAGCAAGCTCAGTGCAAATGCGTGAAGGAAATGCGGGTATAAGCAGGAGAATTCAGTAAAATAACCTTCGGCGCGAACTACGACGGTGGTGCGGGCATGGTGGCGATGACGGCGGGGGGCTGTTGTAGGCGGAGAGGCGAAGGAAGAAACGCCGGCGAAGCTGCAAGAAGCGGCTTGAAGAGTCATGGCGGAAGAGTTTCGCAGCTCAGCACAAAATGGAGTGACCTCAAATCTCGGAGAGACAGTAGCAGCAGGCGCTTGTTCTGGTTAATTATTTTTGCTTTTCATTTTCCTTTTTCCTTATATGTGAATTTTTCACTGTGTCGCTATTTGATTCGATCAAGCATACGATTATTGTTTTTCAATGTTAAATATGAATTTATTTTTGTGATATTTATGCTTGGAGTTCTTGATATTGACATCAGAGGGCGTCACCACCACTCGTTGTTGGGAAATATCAAGCAGCGAGCGAGTCCAGGCCCGTTTATATACAGATTTGGGCCTAGCAATATAGTGGGTGAATAGCCCAAATTGCAGCAAACCAACCCTACCCTACCCGACCCTCATTCCCTTCTTCAAATGAGTTCAATGGTTGAAATCGTTTGTTTGGTAGGTCAAATTTAAGTTAAAGATAGCAAATACATGTGTGATGTGTCTCGTAGATCCTTTTAAGTTATGAAATGATTTGTGGACATATACCCACCAATAATCATGTTATTAATCCGCGGTTAAAGTAATGGGATCAATGAACATCAAAATGACAATCAAACTAGCTAGAATTCCAAATATTGGTCTAGTACTAATATATGACCAATAACATCTATTATGCCATAAGTTATTGTACGTACAAGATTGGTGCGAAAAACGATTACGAAGATCGTTACGGACTCGATTGTCAAGTAATTTGGTGGCGTGCATGGTGATCGTAGTGGTTTGAAGTCAACGTTACCAAATTAAAATTGTGGGGATCTGTCACTTGGATACAGTACTGCGCGCATGCTGCCCTTTCTAGCAAGGAAGCATGGCCGGCGAAGGCCAGGCTTACCAGAAATTAATTTCCCCACAAGCGTACGTACATATACATGCAATTAGGGCATTTGCGTACCTATCTAGGTAATTAGAGGAAAGACAACAGTATAAATGGGCACTAGCTCAAACCCTTAATTGGCTGGTACGTCTTCCTTGTCTTGACAATTGAAGGAAACCCGCCTTTATTTGGCTGGGGTAAGGCCAAAGATTATTATTATATAATTAGGGTAACTAAGGTAATCTGATCTCTGATCGTGACTCGGGAAGATTAAAATGAAATCCAGCAGAAGTAGTAATATCCAAAACCCTAATCTGGGCATGCGCATATTAATATACAAGGATGAATCAGTTAATTCTGAGGGCTTATTTTCTCTGGAGGAGATGGATGAAGTTGCAGATCTGCCCTGGAAAAAAACAGCAACTTAACTACTAGCTACGGTTCTGTATATAATGATTGTATTCATTAATCATAGTGAAAGAGATGGATCATGAACAGATCTAGCTAGTACGAGAGAGAAAGAAGAGACCAAGATTGAGTACCCCCAAAATTAAACAACAGCTAGCACGTGAATTAATGTGAAGAAAGAAAGGGACAGAAACTGAAAGTTGAAGACTTTAGCAGCTCTCCATCCGTTCTCACCTAACTATGGAAGTAAAAAGCAGCAGATCGAAGCAAAGTAGTATTACGATTACGAGTGTAGATAAACAAAGAAATAAAGAGTAACAGTTGATATCGGACCGAGATGCTTGATTCCCCTTTGATGATTTGGCTTTAACCAATTTCTGGCCTTCCTCCAGCCAGCCAGCCAGCTAATCTAATCTATCTGTCTGTTGCGCGCAGAGAGAAGATGGATGGACGGATCAAGGAGTAGTCGTCCTCCCTAGCTAGTTTGCTAGCTTTCTCTCCTCTCTTTCAAAATCTTCAACTAGGTAGCAATTGATTATGATGATGAGGTGGGATTTGAGAGCTGATGAGAACTGAGAACTCAGCAGCAGCAGCAACCAAAGAGTGCTAGCTAGAGCTACATATTAGCTGATTAAAGCTGGGTTTGGAGGGCCGGCTGGGCTTGATATTTTATTGTTTTTTTTCTTCCTTGGCCCTCTTTTTTCTGGTCCTTGGTAACAAGGCCAAGAAGGGTAATGATGATCTTTTGGCTATGATGATGAAGGAGAAGAAGCATGAGAAACAAGGAGTTGTTGGTGGTGGGTGTAATGATGGCGATGGAGAGGGTGGTTCAGAAGGAGGAGAAGAAGAAGACGAAGAGCGCATGGTGGTGGTGGAAGAACGATGATGACAAAACGTTATCATTGCTCCCCTCTCTCTCCCTCTCTTTCTAGCAATGTGTGCTTATCTATAAGACTGATGGCGTTGAAAGAAATGCACCAAAAAGGAAAGGAGGGAAACAATAAAAAAAAGCTGGGCCGGACGGTAATATATAAACAGAACTTTTTATATATTAATGTTTTTGTCATTTTATAAATCATATAAAAATGTTATTTGTTCTAAGGTTTTCTGTGCCTGCTTTCCTTCCTCTCCCAGCTGGTAGTACTACTGGTGTCAGAGAGGAAGAGACGGAGAGGGAGAAACGCTACAGAGAATGATGATGGATACGTGTGTGTATGTGTTGGAGGTCATCATCACCATCACACACCTCCCACCTCGTTAATTAGGGCATTCTTCCTTCCCTCCCGACCTTCTTTCCTTTTCTCACTTTTTCATCATGTGGACAAACATTAATATGTGTTTTTAATACTAGATCGTAGGTAGCAAATTCAGATCCTATGGATGAACTTGCACATATTGTCTGAATAAAGATGATAAATCTTTAGTGAAATTTTCAGATTGCATAGTGAATTGATATTCAACAACTGATACTTTAAGATCACAGTAGCTATGAACTTGCACATATTGTTATCGATAAAAGGGGTCGTTTGGATGGAGTATTTGTATGAGTTATTTGGGTTCAAATAACTCATACAATAGCTATGAACTTGCACATATTGTTATCGATAAAAGGGGTCGTTTTGATAGAGTATTTGTATGAGTTATTTGGATGCAAATAACTCGTTTGACAGCGTTTTACTGAAATGAGTTATTTGGACAGTGAGTTATTTACAAATAACTCAAAACGAATTATTTGAAATAACTTATACTTATGTGTTATTTCGAAATAACTCGTTTTATTACTCTGCTTTTACCAAATACCACATTTGCATGGTTCAACCAAACGAGATACTTTATTTCAATTACTACTAAAATAACACTGAAATACCACATGAGCAATAAATGAGTTATTTGACACTACAAATACCACATTGACAATTAACCCATCCAAACGACCCCTTTATGATTTCGATCATTTGTGTAGTACTACGGAGTCGTTTGGAGGTTGAGATTTTTCAAATATGTGTATTCAATGAATAGATGTATTGTAAATACAAAGATTGTAAGAATTAGATGATTGGAAGAATGTATCGTTTGTTTGTAGCAACTCAAAAAATTGAAGAAAAGAAAAAATCACTTTTTGAGCTAAAAGTGAAACAAATTAAAGTCCACAATCTCATAGGAAGAATTTCATTTTTTTGTTGAAATTTAAAACGAGTGATTGTAGGTGAAATGAGATTTTTAACTTTTAAAATGCGATTTTGACTGCATTGCGCCCAATACAAGAAACTTCTATTCTACCAATTGCATCACTAGATAAATAAATGCAATGCATTTCAAAGTAGGAAACACAAGTATATCTTTATAGTAACTAATGAAATAAATACTATACACGTAGCTTCTATGTTGCACTCACAAACATGAGTGCATACTATGCACCCAATTCTAAAATTAGTCATAAGACATCAAATTTTGATTTGTAACATTAGTCTAATATGATGATATAATATAGGATCACAACTAATCATGCATTACCCTAATTCCTAAACCTTCGATTTTGAACTCTAATCCTAAACCCCAAATTGTATAAACCTTAAACCCCAACCCTAAATACTTGAAATCAAAGTAAATTTTGAATGATTTGTGTGCAAATTCATGTATTTTCTTGTCCATTCCATCACAAGTGATGATTGACATTATTTCAACATAAATGTTTACTAAATTCTAAAATTAAAAATTTCTTAAAAAATGAATGCACTGAGAACAAAATCCTAAAAATACAATTATTTGTGCCAATATTTTTATAATTGAATTAACCCGCATAACTGCATCATCACTTCGTCAGCATGCACAAGAACGAGCTCGTTGTGATCGGCCTAGGGTTGGGTTGGGCATTGTGTCCAGCCGCCCGTCCGTGTTTGTGCCTTACATTATGCAGCGGCCAGCGGGTGAGATATAGAGATGGAAACCCTAGCTACTACTGCTTGTTTCAAACTTTCATTGATCACTTTTGCTTTATTTCCTGCAACTTTCTTTCTTTCTAATGAAATAAATACTATACACGTAGCTTCTATGTTGCACTCACAAACATGAGTGCATACTATGTACCCAATTCTAAAATTAGTCATAAGACATTAAATTTTGATTTGTAACATTAGTCTAATATGATGTTATAATATAGGATCACAACTAATCATGCATTAACCTAATTCCTAAACCTTCGAATTTGAACTCTAATCCTAAACCCCAAATTGTATAAACCTTAAACCCCAACCCTAAATACTTGAAATCAAAGTAAATTTGAATGATTTGTGTGCAAATTCGTGTATTTTCTTGGGGAATGGATCATGTGAGTAACCTTATGGTGAGTAACTATGAGTAACCCGCCCACATCAGCATAACATCAGCATCCCCTCTCTCCTGAAAAGCCTTTAATTTTCCCCTCCTTAATCTTTGACAGACGATTTCTCACTCGTTTTAAGTCGAAATTTAATTTTTTTTGCACAGTTAGATCAGATTAATTGTGCTCTTCAAAATGATATCCACTTTGATATATTTTTCGAACAAAAAAAATTGAGTCATTTTATACCAGTCTATACCATATGGTATTAACTGGTATTGAAATAAGAGCATACCTATGGTTTGAAAAGCGTACCATGGTGGTATGGCACAAACCAAGACTGTAGGATGATTGAATACATGATAGTAGAAGTATATTAATTGTCATTTACGACTTTTAACATTGTATACCATAAAATACCATAAAATACCACCCCGTACCAGGGTGGTATTGTATGGTATTGTGTGGTATTTTTTGGTCTTGTAATTTGTTCACCCAGAAATTTGTAGATCAAATAGATCATGATGAACTCGTCCCTGCTGTGCAAACGTTTTAAAAAACGAAT